TAGGGATTATACATTTTTTTAAAAAATTTTAGCTACTACGTTTAGAGAAATTCCTTCTAAATTTAGCGTCGTTTTAGCTACTTTTGCAGGTGTATTTGAGTGATATTTGAAAGTGAGAGTTGGCATCCATGGATATGCTGCTGTTATCAATATTAGCGCGAACTGAAATTCTCTTTCCTTTTGAATTACAAACATATGCTATTGTAGTCGTTAATAACACAGTTTTTCTCCATGTCAATAAGCAACTTGATGGATTTTTGTGAGAACCGTCTGCATTCTTGTTTATACTTGCATCACTGGAAGTTTCCGTTTTTATTTTATCTAACTGTTGCTTTTTGTGAAGTTTCTTTGTCAGTGATATGGAAATGTGAATCTTTCTGTACAAGAAGGTAAGATTTTTGTACTTTTCATGTAATTTTTCAATGTGAACGAAATATGTGTAGCTTGCTGATTATTATTGTATAAATGTATTTACCTTTTTTTTAAAAAATTCATATTAGTGATCTACCAAATATAACATTATATATGTAGTGGTCCGTGAAGTTCTAAAGGCTAATGACCGCTGATCTAGACAACACAAAAGACGAACATATTTTGCATTGATGTAACGTAGGAGAGCGTGGACAGCATGCGGTCTTAACAGTATTCTATTAAGCAATGGGAAGATTTAGTCTGGAACTTACGACGCAGCTACGGACATTAAAATCTCGGTGATGTAACGGTGGTTGGCCAAAGAACTAAATATGTGAACTAGATGGGAAAGAGATAGCAATGTCACCCCATACCACTTCAGGTGGTGAGTTTGTATTGTACAGACATTAGGTATTTTTTTGGAAACAGGCAAGATGAAAAATTAGCAAACGCCTTCGCCGGGAATCGAACCGCGGACCTCTGGAACACGCGCGCAGTGTGCAGACCACCACACCACGAAGGCACGCCAAGAAGGTGGAAGAAATACCTTATAGTATGACGATGAAAATTTTGAGCTTCAACATTAATTCCCCTCCGTCACTCCACATACAGATAAGACTGTAATTGCTGTAAGCGAATGCTGGACTCATTAGTAAGGACTATGTCATGTCATTTTTAGGTCTACATGCATCGTTGAATATTTTGTAGGCGCTGATTTTTCTGTTGTAGGCCCAATGGAATCTGTAACTGTGAACGTCTTCCTGACAATTCATAACTTTGCAGATGTGTTCGCATAGAATGTGAGCATAATTGGTGCTGGCCAACACATCCGAATTTCTGACTCAGGAAACGTAATGGGGTGGTACGATCCCTAACGCGTAGTTAGCGTTGATGAGAGAGGCTCGGCGTTGATGAGAGAGGCCATTGAAATTATTCTATATAAACATTCTGAAGTTATCGTTTTTCAAATTTTTGTAACAGTTATTGGATATCCACCAACGTAAGTAGTAACTGAACGGTACGGTAATCCGAAGTCCGGTAAGCTATAATAAATTAAAAAAAAAAAACTCGAGTAAATACCTGATTTTTAAATGAAAAATCGACATTTCAGTTTGCTTTTTATACTGCTTTGATGTGTCATTCTTCTTGTCTAATATGCGTGTGCCATGAAAGTTTAATTATTTGCATATTTCAACTTGTTTTACATTTCATGCAAATTTCAGGTTTGTTGTGCGCTTCCTTCATGGTATAGTAATTTTAATGACCTGCAGTGCATTTAACTTTCGAAACTGTATACTTATTCACATTACGCCGATATTTATTGCTTAGTTTGTATTACCTTTAACTACATTAGAACTTTAAATTGAAATTTTGGAAGAAAAAGGGTGAGATCCAAGTGTTTTCAACACCACTCCTCTTGGATTTTAGCGCTTAACTACAAATCTACTAAGATAAAAAAGTCATCAAAAGATTTATATCAGCACTTGAATTAAAACAAAGATGTTACTAACCTTTGGGCTCCCTCAGTTTTCCTAAATGAAACTCAGTTTTTTTATGAAAACTGAGAGAGATATAAATATTTTGACGACTTTTTTACTAAGATAAAAAAAGTCATCAAAATATTTATATTAGCACTTGAATTAAAACAAAGATGTTACTAACCTTTGGGCTCCATTGAACCCACTGAATTGAATCTTGTACCCACAGAACATCTAATGTCATCCTAATAAAGTGCTACAACTAACCAATTAAGTCCTAATAATAAAACCTTTTTTTTTTTTTTTCCTTTAATATGAGGTAGGGTGTGTTAGTCTTTCTGCTTTGGTAGTGAGTTCTCTATAAATATCCACCAGTTTTGCCAATGCTAACAAGTAGACTGCTGAATAGTGATAGTTCAACTCGGGATCCAAACTATCTGCTTGGCAGTTTTCATGGTTTTCTTTATGTGTAACGCGACAGTTTATCCGAAAAAATTCGGAAAATGCTTTCTCCGAAAGCATCCCTCTCCTTTGATGATTAACCATCTTGTACGCAGTAATAGATTAAACAAACAAAGCAAAAATACTACCCTATTTGATTAACTTCTGGGCCTTTCAGTGGTCAAATATACGAGTATAACATCGTTAAACACTCATAGTTCGCATCGGTTCAGTTTCCGGAAAGTTTGACCGGCGAGCATAGGCTGTTCTGCGTTTCTTTCATGTCAATAAAAGCCAGTTTCGCTTAAAACTTTCTTCATGAAGACATCGCTCATGAGGAAGACAGCTTTTATATTTGCTCATGAGGAAGACAGCTTTTGTATTTGCTCATGAGGAAGACAGCTATTCATAATCTAAAAACTAGCTACTTCGACTCTTTTTCCCATATAAGAAACACTGATATACGATTAATTATGGACAACATTTATATAACATACAAAAAGCCGGGCTTTATTCCTTTAAATATTGGTTGTAAAAATTCAATTCTGATAAGAAACTAAAATATGACTAGAAACTAGAAAACAAGACACAAATTCAAATCTTCCAAACGTCCATCTGTCTTTTCTTTTAAGAACATTTTTATTAGAATCTGGTGCACCATCTGTTTCCAGAAATCTGCCAGAAGAACCAGAACCAGAACTGTCTGCATTAAGACCAGGATTGTGCAATTCATACTCAGTAATAACTACTCAGTATACTTTCCAATTTTTATAGGAGGAACATTATTAAAAATTTTAAGCATATCAGGACATTTTTATTCCTGGAAATAATCTACTTTCATCCGAAGAACATATTCTTGTTAACCGCTGGAAACATTTTCATCTCGTATTTTTCGAGTCAGAGGGCTTGAATGCACATTATCTTTTGAAGATTGTAAAACTAGAGAACGACTAGCAACAGGTGGTAATCCATTTGTTCCAGGCATAAGAACTTTAGATTGTAACGAGTTTGGAGAAAAGACTTTTAGGAAAAGGAACAAAGCAAAAGATACAAGAAGAATCATGAGACATGTGCTAGTGTGAACAGATTTTCCACTGGAATTTGTAGTTATAGACTGTAAATTTCTTATCTGCTCCAATAAGTTACTTCTCTAATATTTGAACTTTTTTCTGTAATTTGACGTTTTCAGATGTACATAGTTTCACTCTTGTTCTAAGCCAATCACAAGTTTTTTTCTTCCGTTTACGACTTTTCCTGAGCTGATTGATTATTTCTTATTTTTTTGCGAATTCCCTTTAGGTCTCTTTCTTCTTCTTTTGTAAGAGGGAGATGAGTTGGAATGTGTAAACCTTCCTTTTCCATAGCACAGGCGCTTCTCGGCTGAAACAACATTGTCATTAAATTTGCAGCCGGGTGCTTAATATTGGTAAGCATCTTATTAAGCCTATTTTAGTGAACTATGTTTGTAAAGAAATGGACTTTTATTTTTTGCACTTAACCCAATCAAAGTCTAATGAATATTTTTCTGATTAAAATTATTATTATATGAAGACACTATAAAAATAATAGTTTCTTTTACAGAGTCATCTACATCTAGCATCAAGATTGCTGTCAGAAAATTTTTCATCCCAACTAATTTTGTAAAGCTTTGTGAAATAAAAGTTCAAAACCTGCCAGTTTGCGAAACTGTGAGGAAAACTTTTCAAGTCATTTGTGACATAAATGAGGATATATGCTACAAAGTCACTGCAAAAATGACGTCACGTCTTCAAGAAGCTGTACAATGCAAGGAATGTCACATTGAACACGTTCTTTGCGGAAAGAATTGACCAACTTCTGTATCAAACTTCGTTAACTTTTATGTAAAAGGTAAGCATCGATTTTGTTTGAAATCGTGCGTTTAACCATATATATATCAAGCTACCTTATTATTAATTCACTGCCGTATTAAAATGAGAATACAAGGTAAAGCTTGCTGATTCTAAATTCATAATTTCTATTCATTTACTGAAGTTGATTAAAGCTTATAGGTAATGGCTTAGCAAACAATGTAAACACTTTCTAATAAAGTCCGTAAAAACACCAAAGAATAAGCATTTCAGTTTCACCACGTTCGTGTTTTATAACTGTTTTATCTTTTGTTTATCAATAAGACAATTTGACATTATTTTCATCCGAATTTTATTTCTCTTAAAGAGTAAGAACCTAAATATTTGGAATTGTTACATTAATAGCTCTCACGAACCATGCGAATGAAACAGATGTCATTTGATATTCTTTCATTTACACGGAACTGCTATTCACGAAAAGTCCTATCGATTCCAACTTTAAGGGGGGTATGATAGCAACATGCCTTATTAAAGAGTGTACCTGTTGACGAGGAGGGTTAGAATGAAATAGCAGTAGGGGGGATGGGAAAACTCATCGACCGGGAGAGCCTCCTCGTTAAAAGTAAATGAAAATCGCAAATTAGAGATCCTGTTACGATATATGGGTGTTCTCACTCGCAGTAATTTTTCAGACGACACACGAACTTCGTGACTATCGACTGTAAAACATTTCTAAATTATCTTTCTTTTCGAAAGGAGAGTGAGTTTAAATGTAACAAAAATGTAAGGAAAATCAATGACCGCAGGCATCAATTTTGATGTATGCGTGACGGTTTTATTCTGACATGAATTCTTGCATCGTGAGGCCGTTGGAAAAGTGGGTTCGTAGAACTGGGGTAAGTAATTAACGCAGTGTCGCTGTTTGATTAAACTTGGAAATATATGGAATTTATTTATTCATTTTACTGGTAAATAATATTTTTAGGTTAAGTATATTTGCTGAAAATATAATGAAATGTGAGTGGGTTTGACGATTTAAAACCCACACAGTGTGACTGACAGGTATATTTCTGTCACGTAGTCTGTTCTTAGTGGGTAACAAACGAAGAGCTACGAAAAAAAGTATAAAATTTGTCCAGAATTTAAATTGATAGGTAATTATCATATAATTAGAGATGAATTTATTGGTTGAAATTTACAAATCTATTATTTATAATTAGTTTATAGTTTAAGGAATGGCATTATATTTCTGATTTAAATCTTAATTTTTACCTCTTATGAAACGATTTAACGCTTATGAAATACTTCGATAGTAAAGGGCGATCATCACTGTTTACGAATCATTCCGTATTTTGTTATGAAATATATGAATGTATAGAATGAAACAGATAAATATATATTATATATAATAATATATATATATACACACACACATGCATATTTGTATGCAAGCAAGATAAAAAACATGTACCAAATACCAATTTTAATTTGCAGTAGCTTTCGTAGTTCATTTTAATTTGGGTACTTCCCCTTTCTATTCTAAAACTAGTAATTGCTAATAATCTCTAAACTTCATCGATTCAAAATTAATAGCGATCACATGAATCTTAATAACACCAGTGACGTAGATGGTTTTTCGAATTAAAACTCAACCAGCCAATTAATCGAAACCGGTTCATTGTGAACTAAGATTTCGTCTCGAATCCATCGCACTCGTTAAATTTTCTAATTATTTCAGGAATGCGGTAAATATGAAAAACGAATGAAATAATTTAAAGATTGTCATACAGAATTTTGCTATAATGAATGTAAAAAATATTGTAAAATTGTATCATTGTAATGAAGCTGACTATCCAGGTACAAATTATCAGGGGCATTTTGATATTAAAATGAAGAAAAAAATTCTTTCTTGCGGTAGTTTTAGGATATTCGTGCTTTCTTAGCGAAACCTTCGGCCTGTCAGAAGATTAATTACGTGTAATATAATACCAATATTTAAAGTTATGAAAAAGATCATCCTCAAACTGATACTAGTTTTGTTCATCTAAAAAAGTGTATTCTAGGCCACTATGTGACACCAAAAGATAACCACACAGCTATATTTACAGATGGCTCAAAAACCGAGACGGGTACTGGCAGTGCCTTCTGCGTTCTAAAAGGTAATACAGCTGTGTATAAATGGAAAAGAAGACTTGGCAGTAGGAACTCAGTATTCCAAGCTGAGCTGGCAGCACTTAAAGCAGCAATTAATTATGTGAAGAGGAACAGACTTCTCCACATTACTATTTACAGTGATTCTGCCTCTAGCCTTGACGCAATCAAAGGTTACAAAAGTAGAAGCCAGTATGTCCAAGAAATTAGAAAAATCCTCCTCAGTCTTCCACCATCAGAAAGGCCATGCCTCACGTGGGTTCCGGCTCACGTGGGCATTAAAGGCAATGAGGAAGCAGACACCCTGGCAAAAGAAGCGGCAAAGGAGGTCTCAAGAACAGAACTGCCAGATAAATTACCTAGGTCTCATCTCAAAAAGATCACTCTAAAACAACTGATAGACAGATGGCAAGCCAGATGGGACACAGCAGATACAGGAAGGAGAACGTATATGTTCTTCCCAAAAACAACGCTAGAGTTAAACTGCAATAGTGGTAGTCAGACACAGTTTTATACAGGTCATGGCCCATTCCTGACCTATCTGCATAGATTCAGCCTGAGTGACACAGAAAGATGTCAATGTGGAGAGGTGGGGGATCCAGACCACTACGTCTTCCACTGCACAAACACGGCACAGTACCATATAAGAAAGCCAAGTCAAGCTTACTGGCCACAATGGGCGGCAAATATGAGAACAAACAAAACAGCAAATAAAAAGCTACAAGCGGTAATCAGCCATTGTCAGAGAAAGTATTCTCTAATACGACGATAAGTGTTAAGTGTCGTATTATGTCGTCCATATGTCGTCGTCCCCAAATAGAAATAATCAAGTGCTTAGCGCTCTGAATCATAAAATGTATAAATCACACTAAATCAATCTGGGCACACACCTCGAACCTCTCAACCCAAGACTAACTTAGATAATTAGGACTATGGCAACAACCTGCCTATATTCTTTATAATGTTTACTTTTGCAATTAATGTACAGGTCTAGGACTCGCAAGACCAGATCGTGCCAGTAAAATCTTCAACAGCAATGAGTTTTTCCTACACTTACTAATCGTGTATTTAAATTACAAGTTTGTGATAAATAGGTTCAAGAAGGGCAAGGTCAACTTATGTTATCACCTCAAGTTTATGAATGATATTATTATTGGTATGGCATTTTTGCCTTCTTAATTTTAATAAAATTTCAACTTTTTATGCAAATCTTAGGGAAGAAATATCTGTATTTATGTGATCAATTGCATGTTTGAATCTCTTCCCTAGTGATCAGCATTACGTGCTTAATTATGTTTTGTATAAATTATGTGCATGTTCTAAGGTGATAAAACTAACTATGGAATTAATGTAGGTAAGTTTCTCTTTGTAATTATGTATCAGCATTATGTATTCAAGTGTTTGGAATCAGATATCAGTTTTACTGAGTATGGTGCTGTACTTTTCTGTTTATGTTCACTTTAAAGTACTCAAGTCTGTATTTATTCCTTCTCAGCATGTACTATGAAGGTCAGTTCGTACTTGGCTAGGATTTAGACTACATTACTTAATGATCAGTTTTATGTATTATGCTTATCAGTTTTATGTATTATGCTTATCAGTTTTATTTTTAGTTTTCATGTATTATGTATGCATTTTTAAGTGTTATGTATGCAGGCATTAGGGATCAGCTTTCTGTATTTCTGTACTCAGTATCATGTTAGTTTTTCACTTTAATATTCAGTTTTGTACTTATGTATGTATTATCCTGTCTGCAAGTACTACGAAAGAAAATGTAGGTGAATGGTTCAATTTGTAAAACAACTACAGTTTAAGTATGCGCAAAGAACTAAATTATGCAGGAATTTGTTATCTTAGTGATAACAGGTACACAATCTTTTAAATGTTCTTACATAAGAGTCAGGCACATGGAAAGTAAACTGCGTTAAATTATGTTTGGGCGCTAGGATTTTTTTAATCATCTTTTAATCTCTCTCTTTATTATTTTTTATTTATTTTTTTTAAAGTTTACTATGTGCAATAATTTAATAGGTTACAACTTTCCTCCATGCAGGACCAACGATTTCACAGAAGCCCCATAAAGATATGACGGTTGTGTCACGATAAGCACCCGCATGTAGACATTTAGCAAGTCCAGAAAATCCACGGCAGTTAATTTTTCAGGCAAAGTCCTTCTATCTTTACTTTATCTAACACAAGTTTCTGTCTATTCTAACAGCGATTCTTAACAGTCTTTTGATTGCTTCTTTGCTTAATTTTAAGTAGTTCCTAACAGGATACTCTTTCCCCGTACAACAACATCCAAGCTTATATGTAGACTATATGAGGCTCTTAGCCGTCTATTCGGCTGCGTTCCCGGAGCAGGATGGAGCAGAGAGTAGATGGTTTCTGCCAGGAAGATAACACACTGTGAGGCTAAGGCCAGGTCAGTGGTCTTCCTTGGTGGCGCTCACTCACTCACTAGTTTTGTTAAAGTATTCTAGGTACTTAAAGGGAAGAAAAGGCGAAAGTCTTCTCTTCTTTCGTAGATACAATAACAAAAGTGCGTTGTAAGTATAAATATAATATATTACTATATGAGTTAAAGCACATTCGTATTAAATATTATTTTAATAAAAAATAAGAAAAATGGATTGTTGGAAATTTGACTTTTTACTTACCGCAGAGCTAAAAATGGCATTGGGAAGACTTTCAGTTTAAGCAAGAACGTTCACAAGAAAGTTTGCAGTTTGCGATATTGTGCCTTTATTTTGAATATACGATTGGTCTTTCCCTTTCTTATCTATTCTGCAGTTCATTCTGAAATGGGATTGTCCCAGAAAGCTGTTCAAAGTAACTGTCCATTAATACTTTATTTCCTATAGCGTAAAATTGCCCGCCAAGCTGTAGAATTAGGAAGTTGTACAATAATACCAATGCGTGTATTAGCGACATTCTTCATATCATGGATGCTTCGGTTCTTCGGTGTCTTAGATTCCCGTTCTATGCTTCAGTGCTTTCGGTTCTTGAACAGTATGTTCGGCTCCAATTCCGGTCAGCCAACGCTACTGGATTGGCCCATGATTGGAAACTTATTTAGTTGCTTACAAATACTTGGCTTTTGGCACTTAAGCCATGAAAAGTTTCAGGACCAGATTAAGACTTTTAGAGGCTTTGCTCATTTAAAACGTTTAGATGCATCTATATACATTTGCAGTACAGTGCCCGTTTTTTCCCTCCATTTTTTTCTCTGTCGAGCACCTTTTTTATAGTGCCTTGTCTCCTTGATGCCTTAAGCTTGTGTTTAATGGTTAATCCAGCTCTGAGCCATTTTGCCTCTCGTTATTTCTGTGTTAAAGATTTAAAACTATTATGAGCAGAGCACGTGCTCAAATGTTCCAATGCTCTTTATTCACGGATTTGAATGCAGCTGTAATATTCTTTACCCTCAAATGTTCCTTATTTAGAGTCAGAAAGAGAGCACATTTTCAGAGAATTCTTGAGTTTGATATAAAACAGATGGGAATTAAAACAATCAAGAGACGGAGTGTTGAGTAATTGTAGCGCGAATAAAATCTGAGATACTATATTCCTTTTCTTCCCTAGTTTTTACTGAAGATTGAGTGACTTTTGAATAGATCACTAAGGAAGATGAAGAGGCGATGACGTTGTCACAGCTGTTTCCAGCATTTCTGTGATTAAAAAAAAAGAATTGTGAGAAAATTCAAGTATCTTCGACTGATAAACAATCGTCTGTTTCTTTGCTGCCATCGAATATATAAAATGTTAGATGCCAGACTGATAATCCTCTTATTCACGTTGGGGATATTAAGAGATATTGGTCATGTTCTGGTTTCGACTAAATATATTAATACCTCCTTTTTATTTTTCTTATCTGATAAGGATAATATTCAGTTAAATTAGTATACAACTCTTCATTAAATAAAGTAAAAAAAACTTAGAAATATTTCAGAAATATATTTGAAAAATAACTTTCAATTTTTTTCGTTTCACATTTGAGACATTAACTTGACTATGAGTATATTTTCCGAAAAAATGATATCAGAAATATAGGAAAATTAGATAAAGATTGTATTTTTGTTTTGATGAGATGATATTTATGAAGGAAATTAACAGAAATATAAATAAATTTTACATGCAATCAAGATTTTTATCCCTTCAAGAGAAAAAGAAATTTTACAATACCACAGGCATTTTAATTAAATTAAGTAGCCTCTCCGTCTTTACCATGTGCCGTCGTAATGTCAATGGATAAATCGCCCGGCTAGCAGTCTGGAGGTCAGGTATTCGAATCCTGAAGAAGGCAATGCACAACTTTCATGCCGCCTGCTTTAATAAAAGTGCTAATGACTACAAAATTTAATTTGTTCCTACACATTCTATAACATTTTGTGATTTTGAAACATTGTGTGAGCTAAATATAAATTAATCCATAAGGTATAAAGCTAAGTAATGGCGTAATAAATAATAATTAAAAAGGTTTTAAAGTAAAATAACAATGTAAATTTTAACATGCATTTACTCTGCCATATTCTAGATGAAGATATAAAAACCAAAAGCGATGAATTCATCCTTTGCAACGTCCTCATTGATGTACCTACTACTTTGTCTTCAGTTTATTAAGAATGAAGCCAAAAGCATCACATTTGGTAAGAATTTTCAATATTAGTTTTAAGAAATATAATTAATTTCAATGACAGTTCTTCCTACTTCTTATGATAGATTACGGTGGTATAAGTACCATTGTAATCTATCAAAAGAAAACAATTAGCGTTAAAAAAATTTCATGCGGAAAATTACAACATTCCAAATTAATAAATAACAAAGTTGAGAAAATATGTTATCATCATGTTTCGTGATGGATTATAATTTATCATTCATTCAGGTTTGTGAAATGAAGAGAATTAAAGCAAAAGTTTTTTTTTTTTTTTTTTTTTTTTTGTAAGAATAAATGTAAAAGAAATCTTTCAGTTGACGTATGAATTAATAGCATATTTATGGCACATTTTTCAGATTTATAAATAAGTTCACAGAAATTTAAGAACCCTTGGGCTTTCCGTCATGGACAAGAAACTTCTTATGTATATGGACGCAAGCGGTAAACTACTTTCCTAACGTTCCCCGTATTTAAACAATGTTAAGAAGGTTTGCTATTTATGGCGATTATTTGGCGTGCATTCTTAGAAAAGCAGAATTTATACTGGATATTTATGTTTCGTTGTTCAGAAGATAAAAGCTTCATTCTGTGATCTTTTCAGTCTTCGGAAACCGAATCAGGTGCTGAGCTACCAGCAGTAGTTTTCCTATCCTTTTCGATGTGAAGAAATGTAGTACTGTACAGTTTAGTTCAGGGGCTCTACTCTTATATACGCCCTAAGATCACCAAATGTGGCGACATGTGTTCTGTGCTGGTTTTTGGCGTAACTGCGTGCTGTGCGATAATGATGTTGTTTGTATGACAACCCTTTTGACTTTGAAACTTAACTCTTTTGCTGCAGTAGTTTAATTGCCCGTTGGTTCGTGTCGTGCGCGTTTTAAAATGGCCTATGTTGCAGCGAGAGATGTGGTGGCAAGATTTCAGTCGCGTATTTTAGATTGTGTGCAAAGTAAATTTAGTATTAAAAGGTACGATGTTGGAGTTGTTAAAGAGTCTTTTCTTCACGGGTGTGTTTATGCGGATTGAAGTGTATTTCTGTGGGAGTCAAGACTTTTAAAACGAAGTTTGGCGTGTCCGAAATGCGGAGCTGATATGAGAACTTGGACGATATGAGAACTCGGAGGGTGTTTCTGATAGACTTGCGTGGGTTTGCAATCAAATGGTTGCTGGTAAAGTTTGTGGCTGTCAGCGAGTTTAAGATTTGAATTGTGGTTTTCGTGTAGTATGTTAACGTTGGAGGAAGTTTTTATGGTTACTTTCGAAATTTTGAATCTCAGAAAGACATGTAATATAGCAAAATCGTGGCATTTTTGTTCAGAGACGTCGTGTGACTGGCGAAATTTTATTCAGGAATGTCTTATGGTAAGTGCATTTTATTTTACTGTTTTTAATTTGTAGAATGTTATATTCATTGTTTTTTTAGTATGAATTTCTGTTGTTATTGTTGTTTTTTGAATTGTTTGTAACTTAATTTAGTTTATTTGGTTGATTTGTGCGTAATGCCTAGATTGCACAATTCGTAGATGTTTTTTTAAGTTTAAACAGAATGCTGTGTACATGATATTCTTTGAAATTTATTGTCGTTATGTTGATTTATTGAAGCGAGGTGTGCGTAATTTGTAGGTTCCTTCGCTGCCTAGATTGTGCAATTCGTATATGTTTTTTGAAATTAAAACATATCGCTGTGTACATGGATGCTTGTCAAATATTTTTGGTTAGAAACTTTACGTTTTTGCTGTCTAAATTTCTAAAACAAAGTTCTAGATTTGTCCTATTTAACAAATTTTAAGTTGGTTAATAAGTTGGGAAATGCTAATAATAATTTGCATTATAAAAGCAATTACAAGATTAATTTATTACATACAAATGTATGATGCTATTTACACTCACTATAATGTAGTAAATATTCTAAAAGTAACTAATTCATCGAAAATATCCTTCTTTGTTTAAAATTATCAAGAATGGATTAAGAATTCCTACAAAAATGACAGAAAAAAAATGAAAAAACTAACAAAAAAAGAACAATTCTAACAAGTCTAATTCAGATACCAATATTATTTCTATCTTCAGTTAAATAAATAACATAAGTAACTTTTAAAAAATCGAAATAACTCTTAAAAATGATAATTACAGAATATGTGCACTTAAATTTAAATAAAATAAATAAAAAATAAACAGAATCGTCGGAAGAACTGATAGTTGAACTGTTTGATGAACGAAATCTTCGTTAGGATTCAGCACGAAAGTCCATAAGCATTGAAAGGCGATGTCCTTAAATTATTGGATATCCTCAAAATGTTATATCACGAAGTCATTATAAATCTAAGAATGACCATGAATCCGGATATCCTCGGTATGTCCTGTCACACTACGTCTATAAGAAGACATCTTGAGGATATTTTATGCTTTGATGGTAGATATTTGAAAGCGTCTTCTGAACAAAGTTATTTCGCAACTCTCTATATTTATTTATGGTGCACTAAGACTATATGTTTTATCACAATATATATATATGGGAAAACTGTATTTAATAAACTGGAGAAGTTTGTTTTTCAAATTATTTAATTTTTTTCTTTTTTTTTTACTGTCTTTGATAATTCGATTTTCAGTTAACTGGCCTAAAACTAAAAAAACAACTCAGTGACGCAACAGCCCTAGTTGACCTTGCCCTGTAGCGCACAGTTTCTGCTTTCTTGACCTTTAACTGACTTAAAATTAACTGAAAGTTTGCTCTAAATTTAAGGATCATATTTTAAATACTCGAAATTTGCATGCCAACACAAGGTTTTTCTTCTTCGTTTCAAATGACAAAATACGTGCACCAGGAAAGAAAATCTATTATAAACATGCAATTAAATTGTCAAAATAGACCTTTTTGTAAATTATACATTGTCTCATTGTAAATTATATATTTCAGGTATTGTGCTCGACAGCAATGGATACGGCCAGGAATTCATCGAAATCATAAAAATAATCACGAACGCGCTTCCAGAATTTGATGTATCTTATTCAATAAAACTCATTGATACTTCACTTCCACTTTCGCAGCAGCTGGACGGTGAGTGTACAGTTTGCTTCTAATATATTAGAAATCTCATAAAGGAATACGATTGAAAACCATAGTGAAACTAAATGTCAAGAAACTCTGGGACAACAAAGAAAATCTTGGGAGATTTTCGTAGGTGCTTCACTTTGTCAATTCTTATAGCCTTCAGAAAAGGACAAATTATGACGGCAGAGCCAAAGGTGTTCGTATATCCTATGTGAAATCAATAACATTCTCTGAGTAAAAGAGGTAGGGTAAAGAGTTAGAAAAGCATGCGAAATACATAATGACCACGCATTTTCCTTTCTGAAAAAAAAATTACGCTTATTAGCGACAAGATTATAAATACTATTGATGAGATCTTTGTTGCCGTTTCTACAGGCAGCCGCTACCGTCACCCCATTAACATTTTTTCCCCTGCCAAGCTACAATACGAAAAAATTACAATTACTTTTAATTTTTCCAGCTTGAAACCGTGTGATGGTGATTTTACTCTGTTGAAATCAATGAGAATTTCGTTAGGACACATAGGTCTAGTCCAGGTTCAGATGGCTTCAGGTATCAAATGCCGAAACATCTCTCCCGTAAGTTATTGGCTGTCCTTTTCGCTGTTCATCGAGTGTGAAGCGTTTATAAATTTCTCAGGGAATGGAAACATTGTCATTCTGATAGCTAACGCAAGTAAAAACTGAAGGATACCTCCAACTAAAGAGCCATTGCATTTACGAGTGAAGAAAAGTAATTAACAGCTTACGATATTACTTAAAGGAACAAAAAGTACTCTCGCTATATCACTGTCGATAACAAGAATTAAATGCAAAGATAAAAACATCGTTGACAATATACTTCTTTTGGAAACCGTAAAAGTCTAAACCGTAATTGGGGAATGAGAATTTCGTAAATCCAGCGGTAAAAGTCTTATAAAGTAAAACCTCGTAAAAGTTTTTTTTCCCCCCTAAGCATCTGGTTTCTATTTTTTTGGCACAGAAAAGACGATAAAGTATGGAAATACAGGAATTAGTGTGATCTTTACACTGAGGTAGCTTCACAATTTTAACGCAGAATTTTTTGAAGATAAATACATTTTAAATAAGGAATTTGTGTTGCAAAATGCCTTGGAACAAGAAGAGGGTGTGTTTCAAGGTTGTGTTCTAAGCGTTACGATTTTCAGCTTAAAAACAAATTCTCTTTGAAAGGAACTTCCGGCTATCGTTTCAAGACCATTGTTTGTAAATGACTGTTAGATAAGCTGTCAAGTTGCAGATAGGAGATATACTCTAGAGATAATTGCAGATTGCTCTTGACGGAACTTTAAAATCGATCAATAAAACATAATTTTGCATTTTCACAACAGAAAACTGTATGCGTATACTTTTGCGAAACGTGAAATCCCCATCCTGTGCGCTTTTAGAAGTGATGTCTGAGCGAAAACTAACCTTTCTTCCAGAAATTCTATGCTTGAAGAAGAAATGCTTCAAAGTACTAAGTCATTTAAAAATCCTAGCGAATGCCTCCCTCAGCTCGGAAAGACATAGGATCGGCTCACATAGAATTGCTCAATGTTTTGCATCTACAAGGTGCTCGTCCGATCTAGACTAGACTGTGAGCTCAATCATTTATGGATCTGCAAGATCTTAAGTTTTGTTGAAGATCCCTTTCGTCACCAGTCTTTGATGAGTTTTGTGGAATCTTCAGAATATCTCTTTCACAGAGCCTGTATGTTGACTTACTAACCATCAGTAGAGTTGAATTGTGCACAGTTGTCTTTTCATTGTTATTTCATTATTTATCGCAATCTGACAAAATTTTTCATTTGATTGGAGCTGTATAGTTTCTTGTTTGAAGCACGAGCATCTTGTGTGCGATCTTTTCCATTAACATTTCTTTCACTGAGTGAAAGATATTGCACTTCTGATGTCAAAACATAGACAGTAACGCATTTTCAACTTCTTGATACTTTCCGACCATCTGGTAACAGAAACACTAAAGTTATATATAAATAGCTTTTGAGCTTAGACATAAATACAGCATTTGCCTTCCTATATATACAGATGGATGGAAAGCCGATGGTCATCCTTTATTATTGGGAAACATGTGAAGGGTAGGCAATTACGATGACGTCTGTTCTATACTAACTTCTGAATTGATTGCTGTGTTTTACACATTTTGTTTTCTATATCCAAGCTATGCCGAAAAAGTTTATAATTTATTCTGATCCATTTAGTACGCTAAAAGCTTTGCAATGTTTTCGATATCCAGAATTAGGTAGTTTTTGAAATTTTAAATTTAAATTTAAGGAGCCGCAGATAACAGTTTTTTATTGCTGTATCTGGAGACATGTAGGTTTAAAAGTAATAAGTTAGCAGACATCATAGAAAACTGGGCTGTCGAACTACCAGGGCTGCTCGTCCTTTTTTAGCAATCTCAATGTGATCATTAAGAGAAAATATACGGAATCAGTGGCAATTACTCTATTACTAGTTCAACAACTACAAATCAAAGTGAGGAGATTCGTTTAACTCGTCTTTATCCGTTACTGTAGAACTTCCCATTATTATGTTTTAAAATCTGAGAGTGAGGGAATGTGGTTAGGGACTCTGACTGCCGCACCGAAGGGCCTGGGTTCGAATCCCGGAGAATATATGGATATTTGTAAATGTATAGTGTCTGAGCGGCATGGAGGTACTGCAAATATGCGGTGAGTTCAAAGTCCTCCCGAGAGGTTTGCGGTAACGGAACAGGGGTGGGAGACTCTCTGACAGGTCCCCCAGTGTGCTGTCCATCAAAATTGGGAGCAGAACTGAGCAAAGTCTTACTGTCACCTGCATAATGCTCAAGGCTCTTGCCAACGACAGGAGAAATCTTGCACTCCTTGCTATACGAACTTCGTGCGTTTGTTCTGATGTTGTTGTCAGACAAGATAGATAAGTCACAATTGCAACAACAACATTCTTTTGACTGCTTATGCGAAAAATAGGTCAGTGTTAATTTTGGCTTTTATTATTTAGTCTGATCTAGTTTAAAACGACTTATTGTAATATTTGAATACTGTGAGGTTTAATGCGCTTCGTGCTTTGTGATTTTACGTGTTTCATGTTTACGTGTTTCATCACTAGAACTCAGAGTTTGCTAAGATTCATATATATTCAATTAATGCAAATGAATTTAGATAAAAAAATTGTTAAAAAAGTTTTTAAGATGTACTTTTTAGATTATATATTTTTTCAAATCGTTGCGATGGCATCTGGGGTTACATCTGGGCTACAATGAGAATGTTCTAGTAAGCCTCAGTTGCCTATACGTCGCAGACCTTGTTCTACATATTATCTGCGAAATCTAGTCAAAATTTGCTAGAATAAGATTCCCGGATATCTTATTTAACCAAATTATTAAAAGTGGAAATCCTGTAGATTAAGAAATATAGTTGTATAGAAATTCACTGGCTTCTAGGGTAATTCAGTATTTAATTATTGATTAACTTTCGGGATTTCTTGCGAACGTGACTGAACAGTGTAGAGAAATAACTAGCTGTTAAGTAAATCCTGAAGGAAAGTTTTTTTTTCATGAATATGAAAATTGTTATTAAGTTCTTAATAAACTAATTCTGAAGGAAAGTTTTTTTTCATGAATATGAAAATTGTTATTAAGTTCTTAATAAACTAATATTGCATAGATTTTGAACAGTGGCGTAGCGAGGGGGAGGCAAGGGGGTGTATGATGCCCCGGGCGCCGCTCGCAGAGGGGCGCCAAATGATCTCCAAACAAGATTTTCCGGAAAATTTCAGATCTGATGGATTTCTGGAAAATATATTTAAAAATTAATAATTATTGCAATATAATTAATTATTTATTTTCTTAATTTGTCTGATAAAATGTGAAATAAAATGTTTCCAGTACATCAACCAAATATCTCAGCATGCAAAACTTTTTTTCTGACCACTTTATTTCTCTATATTAGAAATATATAATTATTTTTTTTTGTTTTTGTTTTTTTTTGTTTTTTGTTACGAAATGCGCATATAGCTCCCGCTTTTTATTTACACGACCTGTCTCGAATTTCTCAAAAATATCCAGTTTCCAAAGACGATTCCATAATCTGGAAATGACATTTCTAAACTATGGAATGTCATAGTGTGGAAATGTCATTTTTGAAATGATTATGTCATAGTCAAAATGAAATTTCCAGTTTAAGAAACTCCTAAACGATTCCGCTATATGGGTTTCGTTTGACTCTCCTGTAAACGATCGATGGCCTTCCTAACTTCAACTGAATCATCTTTCTGAGACATCGTATATTTACTGCTACAGAACATTCAACGCGTGTAAATTGTTTTTAATCTCCTAACTACAAAAGGAATGCTGCAGGTCGCTCCTTACTCCTTATCTAAAACGCATAGTTTTCGACCTCACAGACTAAATTTGCATATTCCCAATTTTGCAAAGGTTATAATTTTCCGTTATATTCTCTTCTATTTCTTTTTGTTAAAAGGATTGCCGCTTATATGGTTATTTCATATCGAACTCACAATATCCCCTAATTGTTTTGAGCAGTGAATGTGACTGCAAGATACTATTACTCCGCAGTAGATAAGAAACTGAATCTAAAACTCTATCACAGATTTATGGAGAAAATGTTTTTCTAAACCTAAGAGTCGCACTTCAAATACTCCTTACTGTTTCATTATCAATACTAGCTATGTACGTTTGTTCAACAAATTAAAATAAATTTTGACTATTTATAATCAACGGTGGGACAAGTTCCTCCTATGTCATCTAGCATTTTTAAATACGGAAACAGAAAAATTTGAAAGGATCGACTTTGATGAAGTAATTGATAAATTTGCTTCATCTAAAGCAAGAAAACTTAGTAATTAACTATATTAATGTATTATAATATTATATTATTATTAAAAAATATATCTACTTATCTAATAATATATATTAAACATTTAATTGTTTAAAAATTGTACTTTTAAAAAACAATTATATTAAATATGTTGTAAGGATTATGATAATTTTATTAACAGTTAAATTTCCTTTTCTATTGCTTCTTAACTTCAACTTGCCACTTCCGGCCCGAACGTAGTTTTAGAATCACGTCTGAATACTAATGGAGGAAGAGCGATATTTAACCGCGAAACTCTACTGTCTGGGAGAAAGAGATACCAGATATTCTGGCTGCACGCGTCCGCCTTTTAGGCTACTTTCTCGTAAGCTATTATTACGCTCGGCCGTACTTTAGGCCCTTGATAGCTTCGCAGTCAATTAGCGTTAAGGGGCTAACTCGGTTAGAATCTTGATAGCTTCGGTTGTATCTCTTTAGTTAAGATAAGCTTAGTTTAATTCTTAGTCTCTTAAGTTCAAGCCCGGTGTCGGGTTTATTGTACAACACCAAGACGGAGTTCTGTTAAATCTTACTTAAGTAATAAAGGGTGTTATTTTACCCTTCTATCTTGTTTGTTTCTTGTCATCCGAACTCAAGCGATTATTCGCTTATCAGTTCTTATTCTTCACTTTCAACGTTAACAGAATTACACCGTGAAGAATCTCCACAATGTAAAATAAAAAATACTTTTTTAACTAATTCCAGATCATCGTATATCTGATCTTTCAGCCGATACAGATAGATTTCCGAATCCAATGCTAGTGTAGTTTGGTATTGACTATTCTTAATATATTTAGAGTATTTTATGGCAGATTCAGCATTTTATTATTATTTGCATTCTTTTATTATTACGAATACATTCTATAAGGAATTTCTCCCCGCCTTCTTGGTGAGGTGGTCTGCACGCTGGGCGCGTATTTCCAGAGATCTGCGATTCGATTCCCGGCGAAGGCATTGCATATTTTTCCTCTTTTCTGCTTCCAAAAAATCTTAATGTCTCTACAATTCTGTACATTATATTACTTTAAGTGTTTTTTTTGGGGGGGGAGGGGGCGCCGAAAAGCTATTTTGCCCCGGGCGCCAGTTATGCTCGCTACGCCACTGATTTTGAATTGAAATTTTCTCTGAGATAAGTAGTAGTAGCCTTTTACTTACATTTTGTGTTTTTTTTTCCGAGCAGATATGTGTTACAGTGAAACCGACTTCGAGGTACTACTTTCAGCTACGTCATGCGATATTCTGAGAAGTCTAGCACAGCAGAGTGAGTCCATGGGAATGTTGCACTTTGCAGTGAATGTAGACCATTGTCCGCCAATTGGTCACTCCGTGTTTTTAGATAGAATTTCTCATTATGATGTCACCCAAGCCATCGCCGATGTGATTCAAGAAAGGAATAAAAAGGCTGATCTTGTTGTTCTACACGATACCAAATATGGTAAGTACTGCTTATAATTTTGTCTTTCGCAGGAACAGAGCGAAAAAAAGAGATTTGTTGCTACAATTTTCAAATATTTTAAAATAACATAAAATGTGTTTTTTTATTTAAAACAAAACAAAATTTTCAGTCAGTTTTAACGAGTAAAATAATCTTACATCTGTATTAATTATTATATTGCTGTATTGATGGATAAGTTGCGATTATAAAAATTACTCTTTAGCTTAGAATTTCTTTTTCCTCCCATAATTGAAATGAAATTCCGTGTATATATATATATGTGTGAAACAAGCAGAAACTATACACCTACGACAAACAAAGCCTTTTCCGTAACTAACTGTACTTTTATTTGTAGATGCATATATTTAAGGTCAATGTCTTTTACTAGATTGAGTAAATCTATTAAATATTTAAATATATATTCGCTTCATTAAAGATACGGGTGGAAAGTTTGTGTACGTTTAACATTAGGTTAGCTCACCATCAAAGGAGTTAGAAATGCCTTCTTATCCATGTTCATCAGTTTGGTACCTCTTTGTGTGTTGTAGTTGCTTGCACATTTGGAGTCATATCTGCAACAATTTGGGTATGAGAAAAGATGTAATACCAACAGCACTGCGTCTTTAATTATACTTCAATGTTTAAATGCCATAAGTAGTAAAAATATCAGGCTTTGATAAAGACAACAAAAAGAGACGAAAAAGGTAGTTTTTAAAGCGATCATCTATCCATCTGAAGAACTAGCCCACTTTTGAAGCACCAAACGTTTCCTTAAGAACTTCTTAGATGTCTAATATGGCAATTCCTGCTCAAATGTCTAAATTCTTGACAATTGTAACAGCGAATCACCCTAAAGTATTCACTAAAAGGGCAAGAGTGAAAGCCAAAGAAGACTCTCTTGTGCTTTAAGATATTGTCAACTTGTGCCGCAATGTCAAAAATCCAGTCGCAGTTCCCATCCGCTCGAGGTCGTGAGCTTTTGGGAAAGATCACAGCTAGAAAGTTACTAAACTCTGCAGTAATGTTCACCGCTGTCGTCTCAGGAGGTAAACCAAACGCAATAATAGAACTTCGCAATGGAGGAGGCTTACGTACTTCTAGCTGATCAGCTAGTGATTCAGACGCTGTGATGGTTCTTTAAAGTATTTCAATGTGCTCATCCTCTTTGCAACGGTTGAGCAGTTCTTTTGTTCTTGTGAGCGCATCTGGGTAATTTTTATCCCCAGTTGTTGCGGTTTCAACTTAGATGCTAGCTGTGTGCGCAGGCTGTCTGCTGTCCTATTGGCGTCCTTAACTAGCAGAACGTGTTCCGAAGAGCGCTTTTTAAAATAGACCGTATTGACGTTATTTCCTTCTGTTAGTCTTTTTTCTTATTTTAAAAACATTTAATCTATCTCTTCCTATCAAATTTTTCCTCGGTCATTTTCTACTTCGTTCCCTAGAATAAATTTAACAGTATCGGCTGCTTTATTTTCAAAAGTTTTCTGGTCATTTTGTTTTTAAATGTACCAGCTCGAGTCATCATTTTTTAATATCATCATGAGCAACATATTCCTCGGTTACATATGCATTTCAGAAATTAAAATAAGTCTAAATATCTTTTCTCAAACCACGTACAAATTTTAAATTATTTAAAATCTTTTTCTTCTGCCCAACAGGAAGTTTCATGTTTTCAACTTTTGCAGTGCCTTTGAAAACTGATTTAAGAACGAATTCCATGAAATCCATTTTGAGAACCGAAATTCAAAATCCAAAACAAGGAGAAAAACGCGAGAAAAAGAATAAGAAGTCCCAAAAAGGTTCCTGTGTGTGTGTGTGGGGGGGGGATACAAAAACAACCCCTCTGAAAGCTGCACTGGATTTCCTGAGGATGTTATTCGGAGAATAAAATTGTACAGCTGTCTGCTTATGACAGAACGTAAGCCAGGAATAACTGTGCTCTTAAGTACAGTTAATGAAAATCCGATCAGGGAAAGTAGAAGATAAATGTTAGCCTGTGGAAACTATAGGGGTTATTTTTACCTTGAGCTTGATCATGCGATTTAGCATACAACTAAAGAACCTCTTAACTACAAATGCTTCTATTTACTGATTCGTCCTTCATGTGTGTAGAATAATCTCTAAATAAAACGATGCTTTTTAACACTGCTCATTAGCCCAGAAATCCAAACCTATTTTCATTTGATCCATTAATAAGGATAGTCCGTGGTGAATTTCAATGCAGTAACTCTTTCTTCTCTTGAAAATGGTCAAAAGAAATATGACAGATAATAGTTTGAAATCAGTCTAATGACATTTTATTTTGCCATTATGACCGCTCGAAGTAACCCACAAATTTGTCCACAGACACGAATTTTCGCCATCATCGAAAAGAAATCAGTTTATTGTTATACTATATTTCTTCACGAATTCGGTTTTGTTTTATTTGAAGAGGATATACCATGTGTCATCCATTTTCATCCAGCAATAACGAAGGAGAAGATTTAATGAATTCAGGATGTAGCGCAAAGTTTAAAAAGCGAGAGATAGAAAAAGAGAGCTATATAGACAGAGAAAGAGAGGGAGAGAATGAAAGAGAAAAAGCAATTGTCTGTTTGATCTGTAGCAAAAATTAAGAACCCTTATTGTGTTAAAAATATAATAGTTTGCGAATACCGGATTATCATTATTTATTGCAGAAATGCTATCCTGTTTTTCTCTCCAATGACATTACTTAACAGGCAATGTGTTTGGACACGAGACAGCAGAACCACCTCGAGTTTTTAATTACAATGGTGTATAAAATAGGGTTTGCTTTAGACAAGGGCGACCAATGAGCCCTGAGCTTCGTTTTAAGGGATCTCCAAATCCTTCTATCATATTTAAAATACATAAAATTAAAAACATTTCAAATACAGCCTTAAAAATGTAAAATTAAAAGCATGAACAGAATTCAAAATTTTGTGTATTAGTTTCTTACGTCTTTTTTAGAAAATTCGACTCAGGATCGTAGTCTTGCACTCTTATCGGCGACAATAAAGTCTCGATTTATACACCTAACGCTAAATTGCACAGATAAGTTTCGCTATTTGTTTGTCAGGCTCTTTTGATTATGGTAGTTAAATGATACTTCATTGTTAAATGATTAAATGTAATAAAATGAGTAAGAATCCTTTAAGGTCTTCTCTTTACCTCAGCCTTTTTTTTAGGAAAACCAAAACCCTGGTTTAAGGTTACATTTTACACAACAGTGTAATAAATTGATACCTTGTGTGGCAGGATGCTCTTAAGAAGTTGACAGGCTAAGAGAAAATATAGGTTTTAATTGTCTGATACTTAAGACATATCAAAAAGACGAAAAGGGAATATAAGTTTCTTGTCACAAACATGAGCATAACATGATCATGAAAACGTTCACGTGCAGTTTCTTACACTTTATAGGAACAGAAGATATTTTTGTCAATGCCGCGTCATGTAAAAGCGATCCCAAGAACAGCCATGCAGACTAACGGACTAACTTAAACCTGTAGTCTCTTGCTGAAATTGCATGCAGGCCGAATGCATGATCTGAAAGCAGCTGAAGGATCAGAATTTCTTAACAAGATAAAAAAAATTATTAACAAGATAAAAAATTGTGTTAACAAATTTTAAATTTTATTTACTAAGTATTTATCAAAACATACATAGACAAATACAGTATTACTGCAAAGGATATAAAAATTCAAATTTATAGCTATTTTCTGTCTGAAATCTCATGTTTAATATCTGCAAGACTCTTTTGTTGGTTACATTTATACTGATAATGTATTGATTGTAAAATATATAAAATATGTATTTGATGATAAAATATACTGACAGCTAAATATTAAATTTCAGACTGACATTTGTTTAAAATATATCTAAACTGTTTAATTAATCATTAAATAACTTACTTTAATTTGAACTAAATCAAATTATCAAAATTTTGTAAGTTTTTAGAGAAAAGTTTCCAAGAGGGACAAAATTTGAGATAAATAATGACAACCTATTATTGTTTTCCTATTTTTATTTATTAAAATTTTCTTTGATGCATAAGTACAAATACGTACGTTTGTAAGGTTTATCCCAAGTTGTTATCAGTTATCTTTAGTTAAAGTTACTTTCTTATTCCTTATAATTTCAGCTTGCAAATTTCCGGCCAGAGTGTGTTTCTAGAATCGCGCTTAAATGCAAATGAAGGAAGAGCAGTATTTAAAGTCGAAGTTCCACTAACTTCATTAGAGTGTCAGAGATTCTGACCAACGTATGCGTTCGCCTTTTGGCTACACTCTCTCTAAGCTATTTCTACGCTCGTCCGCATTTCAGGCCCTTGATAGCTCCGCCGTTTAGTTAGCGTTTAAGGGGCCAACTCCTGTAGAAATTTGATAGCTTCGGCTATATCTTTTTAGTTAAGTTTTATTTTTTAGTATTCTTGAGTTCGAGCCCAAGTGGTGGCTTTTATGTACGTCCTGAGAGAGGACCGCCTGTTAACTTTTATTTTGAGTAATAAAGGATAATTAACTCTTCTTGAGTATCTGTTCTCTCTCTACTGAACTAAAGCGATAATTCGCTTACCAGTTCTTAAGGCTCCACACCTATAGGTGTAAATTCTCAGCTGGGACATTACATGCTAATAATTATAAACTCCTTTATTTCTTATTTCAGCTTAACAATTAATGGCGTTTCGATTAATTTGGAGTTTGTAGCTTTGGATAGAAATTACTAGAAATAATTTTCATTGCAGATTGTAGATGCTCATTGGCCAATCGGGTTCTTTTCTTATTAATTTTCAGTTGTGAAAAAAAGTGCCGTTCACATATGAAAATATTCCCAAACAAATCGATTATTCTTAGTACAAAAATTTGAACCTGAGCTTATTTGTTTTTGGAAAAGTAAGGGTAAACATAAACGAAATTAATTTTTTGAAATAACTTGAATAAGATTTATATCACACTGTAAATTAGTTAGCTCCATTTATGGATTTTCTGGTGCGTTATTCACATTCGTCTTTAAAGTTAATGAAAATCAAGTAAATTTGGACTTGAAATAACTAAAATATTGAAATGTTTGCAACACCGCATTTACATCAAATACATTGAAATGCATTCGCAGGTCGCATAAAATTGCTTCGGGGGAGCATGCAGTTCGCAGGCCGCCAGTTCGAGATCTCTGCTTTAAACCTTTAGACATTAGACGTCTTGTCTCCTAATATTTTTGGCTGACAAAATTAAAACCATTAAAAGAGCATACATTTAAATATTCTTTGACAATGGGTTGTCCAGAATGCATTAGGATACACAAATATTAGAACGCACAAAGAGAACACAGTAGAGAATTTCTGAGACTAATTGCAAAACAGATGAGCAATAAGGAAATCATATCCAGTTAAAAGATGGAACGTGACGACACAGCTGTAGAAGGAGTTAAATATGTGATTATATTTTCTCTAACCGAGAAACACTGCTATGTTCCCTTTATATACAAAGCTGAATTATGAATCTGACTAAATTTCATTTTGATCAGTCTGTTAACAGAATAGAAGGTTATTAATTTGATGAGTTTTTACAAAACAGCCATTTTTATACTAGAAGGAAATTTATATTCTCATTTCCATCTATTCTACAATAAAAGGCGTCAGGCGGCAGTGATGTGATATGTTTAGTATTATAGTATTAACTAGCATGCATCACGAAGAAGCCAACTATATAAGTTAACCGACCTCGTTCGAAGGGCATTTTTCAAAACGTTTGTTATATTTCTGAACTTATGAGGTTTTTTTTATTAGATTGCACTCACACTTAAGTATAATGACAAGAAAAATGATAAAAATTCATATTTTGTAAAATTCATGCAAAAAACTGAAAATTTTACATTTATATTAACAAATACATCAGCTGTTACTGACAAGAAAATAATGATGATGAAAACATATTTTTGACTTCATTTTATGTATATTAACGCTAAGCATACAGTGAAGTAGAATAATTGAAAAATATTGATTCGCTAGTAATGTATGGCTAAATATGTTAGTCAACAAGCAAAAGTTTTAAAAAATGCATACACTATTGAAGGAAAAATGATGTACAGTGGAAATCGTTTAACACGAAACTGACGAGACTGAAATATTTTTTCGTGTTAAAAGAATTTCATGTTAAAGGATATTGAAAAAAAAAAAAAAAAAAAAAAAAAAAAAAAAAAAAAACATATTCAAGAAAATTAAGTTTATTAGATTACATTTTATTTACATAGATATGTATATATGCATGTATTTAATAAAAATCGATAAAACAAAAACATCTAGAACTTGATTTAATAAAAATTTTTCAAGTTTTTTGAAAAACAAAACATTTATTGAGTTTTTGGAAAATAATCTGATATTTTTCTTTGCATTGTATATTTGAGCATCAAATTGTTCGATGTCCTCCATTTTGTTGTTCATTTTACCATTGGAATGTGCATCTAAATAACTGCGCATACTTTTCACGATGTTCCTTATTTCGGATGACCGTGGGAACAGGATCTGAATTAATCATTTTCGTCGTCGGAATCTAAATAAATGATATTCTTTTTAGCTTTGAACTAACTCTAAAATGTCTCTGTCTGCCACAATTGGAGCTATACACACATTATCATCATCTACTGCAACAAATTTTTCCGATGATACAGTAGAAGAGTTCAATAATACAGAAACTTTCTCAAACATTTGATTAAGTGTCGGCTCAGTTTCAATATCCTCCTTCTCCATTTCTTCTAGCTCGAACCAAACTCACTGATTTTTACACACACTGCTGTGTACTCGTCGCCGAATTCCAAAGCCAACTGATGAGAGATGAGACGTTTTTGTGTGGCGTTTGTAGAGGTGGAGGGTGAAAGTAGCTTAGTTAAAGGGCTTAGTTAATTGGCTCGTGTCACAGGCTATTCCGAGGGTATTTCAAAGCCAAGTTATCCTCCTTTCTACGAAACATGTGAAACCACCTATCTTTCATTCCAACCCCTCTTAAATCTCGCCTACGCGGCTGGTGTTTTCCGTATTTTGTCCTTTACCAGAAGGGACATTTCTTCATGTTAAGCAATTTTCGTTTCGTGTTAAAAGAAAAACAAATGCATGAAAATACATAGCAGTTTATCGGGACAGTTGTATTATTTCGTGTTAACCGGTAATTCGTCTTAAGCGTTTTCGCGTTAAACGTATTTCACTGTAATTTAAATTATAGAAGGCTGATTTTTTAACTCTTAGTCTACATCAGGCATAATAATATACAAATCCTATGAGCAAAATTTCGAGTGATTTTATAAGGAACTTTTAAAGTTATCACGGCTGCTGTGAACATAAATCATAAACAAAGGGGAAAAAATATCAAAAATCGCAATCCGCATTTAAAGTTTCCAGATTAACATTACATGACATATATACACAACTATTCACGTTGCCAAGTAAATATTGTTTTTTTTTCTTTTTTTTTTTTCTTTCTTCTGACACTAGTTGTGACGTTCTTCCTTCACGTCCGTACGGGGTTCGGAGATTTGGAGTGAATAACGACGACACTTAATGAAGTATCAAATAACACACTTTATTGGCTAGTATTGTCAGGACAGCTCCAAAACACGTTTTTACAGTCGTCGTTTAACAACTATAAACACGCTGACTCGATCAGCAACACATCCTACAGGTTATCAGGCTATCACGGTGGAGACAGCTTCACTGCAAAGCACCAGAATACAGATCCCGACTCTGCTCGGTCGTTCTCGGAACTCCACGTACTCTCGAGACTCTCCATGCTACAACTCGCGATGCACTCGACGACACACAGAGCACAGCTCCTATCTCTTCGGTTCAGTCGCTTCCGGAGTTCAACACGCTATCTCGACGATGCACTAATCGCGAGACTCTTTCGGTGCACTCGATGACCCACTCGGCACTCGCTGGCGGGCTTTCAACTAACGCACGGACTAACTAGATGAGACACACTCTCTACGACTATCAGCTCGCTAGACGAGGCACACACACACTGACTGCGGACCAGCAGGGTTTATATAACTTTCAGCCTGTGTTCGAGAACATTCTGGGTTAAACCGGTAAGAATTCGTTCCAGAAGGTTCTCCAACCGTCATGGTACATCGCCAATTTTGTCGCCAAATGTCCCCAAATGGGCGATTTCTCGCTAAATGTGGTAACCGGGCCTTCCCTTTCCATTTATGGCAAACTTAAAACTGCTTTGCGAGTAAGCCATCTCACCGCGCCTGTAGATTTCGTAACAATATACTTTGACAGATTCTGCAGACTAATTGAAATGCTTAAAATTATTTAGTGAACAAATAATATAAAAAACGGCGAAAATTGCAATTTTAATTTGCCCTTTAAACTTTCACTTCCACTGTGGCAAACAATAACTTCCAGTTTGTCATTTTTCAGAAAAACTGGTATATCTCCACTTCTAATAAACATAGCAAGAAAAGAAAATGTGTTTTGGATAGCTAAGAGTGTGGCCTTTAAAAATATGAAATAAAAAAAAATTGTGATATTTAGCTAAAATCGGCCTTCCGAACGAGGGCTGTTAAGTGAAAAAATAAACATTTATTAGTGCTTTTTGCGAAATATTTTGTAGAAATCTAACACATCCGAAAAAATTAAAGGAGGAGGGCCTTAGGCCTATAGTTTTGTAAATCCATTATATATGGTACTAACGAGTCTCAGTGAGTAGTTTTAAGATGTTTTTGGGAGTCTTTGATTTTCCTGCTTGGTCACTAATTAATCAGACTAATTTTTTTCCCTTATTCTAAAGTTTATTCGCTGTATCTTTCACCGCATTGTAACTGTTTTGAATTTCAGACTGCTATATTAGCTAATTTACCTATGTAGAGACTGAAAAAAGAGTGCTTTATTAATAAGTTGAAAGCTTATTTTGGAAGCCAAAAATTAAAATAAATTTTAATTTGCTAATTTGGGAAGACACAAATTAAAATTAATTAAAATAAATTTTAATGTGCTATGTTATGATTTTAAAAATTTTACTAAGAAATGTAGAGTTCAAGTTTATATTTCTTTTTCATTGCAGAGAAACAACCCACAGTAAGATCTCTTCTCCGCGAGCTCATACGGAGGGGGATAAAATATTCATATCTAATTTTTGAAACCGATATAACGAAAGTATATCGTAGAATGGTTATGGTCCGTCGGGGAGCAAAGGAGCTGAGCGTTCTTGTTCTGGGAGACTTCTCGGAGTTCAAATATATTTTAGATCAGGTAAAAATTATCTTAATGTTTCATGCCATCATGGTTAATTTTATTTTTTCAAAAAATTGTAAGTGTTTAACTTTAAGCCAATAATATAAGCTGGGTACAAAAACTTTACCATTTAAATTGATATATAAATTTTCTACGTAATTGATACATACGCATGGACTTACAGCAGTGATATTAAATATATCACTTCAATTCAGTTTAGTTCACTTCAAGTACTTGAATCAGTAAACGCCCTCAATCCGCTCACTACTTTTCTCGATGTACCCATGTCTCCGTTGAATTATGCTTTCAGTGTCACGGGAACACATAACGATTGGGCCGGATTGAATCACGCTGGTGATTCAGTTTCGAAGGATCGAAGATCTTTGAGATCTCTTGGTTTCACAGTATTGGTTTCACCGATCCTTCATCCTCTCCCATAGCCAAGAATCGTAGGGTTAATATCAGTAATCATTAAAAAAGGAAAGGGAAGTATGTTGGTAATGTCAGTAACTATAAGTGTTAATAAGATTTAGTATTTCTTTCTAGAAACTTGCCCGTGAAAAGGTATAACCTTGCCCATGAAGGGGTATCATTAAACTATAATGGAACTGTAGTATTCCGTCGGATAAGGCGTTGGGCTGGAGTGTCTTCAAGTGGATCATCTATCGAGAAAACTGTATTCAAAAGAGTATTTGCTGTGTTTTGCCATTGGTTTACATAATCTTCTGAAGCTGTAAGCTGTATATATAAATTTAGATCGACCAGAAAACTTTGTTTGATGCTATTTTATGTTGAAAGCCATAGAGATTAGAATGGTTTGCACAGAATTTCCTTCAGCTGATTGTTTTCGTCGTGAGGATGGCTGTTTTGTATTTTGCGCATTCTCTTCGAAAAATAGTAAGATACCGAAGCTTATTAGTATCGTTCTGTGCAGTTCTTATTAGTATTCGTAGTGCTGTACATTTCTGCCTGCGTTGACGAAGCTCCTTCGAGACACCATGATACGCCTTGAAGCTTTTGGGTTATCCGAGCAGGAAAAGTTGTTCAGAGCTGAACTGCAGATTGGCACTAAACACTTCAAACTGATGGTTTAAACCAACAATTCTAATCAAAATAAAAATTATGCATTTCAGGACGACTTTTTAAAGTGCGGCAGGGACGGTGATGAGCCTTGCACTTACTGGCATCATTTAAGCGAATGCGTTTAAAACAGCGTTTCTTAAATTGTGGGTCGTGATCCCAAGTGGGATCGAAAATGTTGGGATCACGGAAATTTACTGAGATGTATGAATTAAAAAAAACTAATTGCAAACTTTTCATCATCTTTATTTCAATATGTTACATTTCCTGTACAACGCAATTATAAAATAATAAATAATAAATAATACTGGCCAAATAATCCTGACCCATGGATAAATAATTGAACTTGAGTAACAAAGGTAATGACGCGAAAGGCAGTGCTACAAAATCTCTTCAAGCCGGAACTGTAAATTGAAGACAGACACCAAAGGTACGAAAAATTTGACGAGACGTATTTTCAATTTGGTTTAACTTTCAACAACTCGGATGGCAATGCATAACCTCTTTGTTTAATTTGCAATAACGCTTTAGCTCTGGAAAATATGGAACTGTTAAAACTAAAAATGCATCTTAACATCAAGCATCTTTCGTATGTCAATAAACCCAAAGAGTATTTTAAACGATTATTAGAATCGTTGAATAAAGAAAGCAATCTATTGAGAAATTCATAAATGCTATCGAAACATATTTATTGGCGTCATGCAAAGTTTAATAGCTGATTGCTAAAAGATGCCATACATCATTGGAGAAGATCTTACATTACTTTCTGCTGTTAAAATAATAGAAGTACTTTACTAAAATAAATATAGTGATGTAATTCGGAAAATTCTTTTGTCAAATGGCACTGCCTGCAATAAAATTTCTGAAATTAAGAAAGGACAATTTGAGCAAATTATTACATAATAACTTAAAGAAAGTCAAAATTTACAATTCAATTGGGCATATGTTTGTGACATACGAATTGTTTTGCCATATTGACAAACATATGTTTTTAAAATATCGATTTTAAGTAAATGTCACATATATTTATAAAGAAAACTTCAATGAAGAATTGTTATTTTGTCGTTCTTTAACAGAAAATACAAGAGAGGAAGATTTATATAGTACAGTTGACGAACTTCTTAGAATTGAATTGGAAAATAGCATTGGAGTGTGCACAGATATTGAAAAAAGAAAAAAGATTACGGGTGAAAATATCGGTTTTAAGTAATTTATTAAAGCTTCTCATAATGATCATGTAATTTTTGCAAACTGCCTGTTCAACCGAAAGGTCTTTGTAGAAAGAAAATAAAACGCACTGAATTATGTACTTCAGGATGCGCGCTTTTAATATCCGTTTATTTTAAGTTCTCTGTAAATCTACGAACTCCAAATACAAACATTTTTTAATGCGCGAAGTAAGATGGATGTCAAGAGAGTAAATTTTAAGATCATTACTATTAAAAAACGTAATTATTATATTTTTAACCACCGATCTTGTTGCTCTTTTTTTTAAATACTTTATGGCTGTCAAAGCTGAGCTGATAAAGTCTCAGATATTTTTGAAAAGCTAATCGATCTCAAGGAAAAAAATAAGAAGCTAATTGATCAGCGAAAAAAGAGGAATATAGTTATTTCGAGTGATAAAGTTTATCAAAAAGATTAACATTTGGGAGAACAGGATGAAAAAAAGTTTTTCGAAATATTTTCGATTGTGGACAGTTTTATAACTGGGAAAAAATTACAAAAATTTAACTGCATCTTTTATATTTAATATCTGGGGTGGCAAAAATATCTCGATGATAAAAAAGGCTCAGGAAGGGAAAAAAGGTTAAGAAACGCTGTTTTAAAAGAATCACTTGTGTATCTAACTAGGACGAACCTACTATATGATCCGTTTCATTCAGGTAGATTGCTTCTTTGTTGGCGTTACACGTTTTGACGACGAGGGAAGTGTGTAAAAGACCTTTTTATGGAATACAATATTTAACAGTTGGCATGGACGTTCGTGCTTACTCTAAACACCGACCACTTGGGGGTGAGAACTAAAAGATAACGTGACATTAAATATCAAGATAAAGAGTAGTGTAACATTACACAATTCAATTGAAACTAACAAATTGACACATAAAACCTACACCGGCAGGATACTAACTCGAAGGCCAAAATGTGTAGACGCTATTAAGATTCACAGCTTGTACGTAGTAACTAACAATCGTCCGCTCTAGCAAAATCACACTCTCTCTAACTTTGGAACTTTTATGTACTTGCTTTCAGCAGGCGATGTATTGGCCTTGCTCCTGCCATTTCCTTGATGTATCCCAAGCTAGGCCTGACGGTTGTGAATCCTACGGAATAAAATCACCGTATGGTGATTTTCTGCTGTAGAAGTACATATATAAAAGGGAAAAGAAAGTGAAGCACCTTGCTTCTGGATGTTAACTGCTAGGCTGGTGTGTTCAAATAGGGAGGTACTCCTGATGATCTTATTTTAGGAGATGGGCGGTATCTCTTATCTTCTGCTAGAATCTCATATGCTAGGATGTCTGCAAAGTTGGCAGGATTATTGCAGATGGATTTATTGTAGAAATTTTCGTTTATTCTAGAAATGAAATCCAGAATGGTTTCCATATTTAAGTCAGAGTGGAGAATCTTATTATCATTATCACTAGCTGTTACCCAAGCTGGGGACGCATACGTGACTATCGATCGGATGACCGAGAGATAAAGTCTCTTTTTTAGGTTGAGTGACAGATGAACGCTTTTCAACAGAGGAAATAGCCGAAATGCTAATCCGAATGCTTTGCCACTGATTGCTGTCTAACGTTTTCGCTTCAACAGTTTAAATATTCTCGTTCGCTTTACTTAATTTACATCCTGGCCAAGGAACGCGAGAGGAAATAAGAAAACTCATTAAAGGCTCAAAACAAAATATCTGTTAGCAAAAATAAGCAGAATCCTTGTACTTTAAAACATTAAAAAAATATAATTTCCTAAGTTTTGTTTGTTTGTTTTGTTTTGTTTCGTCTTCACAGCTGAATTTTTAATTTTGTTAATATAAAGTAACTGATATATCGGCGTAAGGAATACTTTTTTTTTTTGAGTAGATTCTAAGATTTTTGAATAACATAAAGTCCGTTATGTAAATCCATAACTGAAATCGCCAGTTGTTAGTTTCTCTAAGACGATCACCATCAAAGAAAATCGAAATTGATATGAATCATTTGTGATTACTTCAAAAAGATTCACTATATCTAAAATCTTATTTACTAATTTCGACTTTTAATGGACTGAATATTAAATTTTTACAATCTCTGTTGCAATATACTTGTAATACTGCAGGAAAAAAAAAAAAAAAAAAAAAAACCAAAAAAAAAAAAAAAAAAAAAAAAAAAAAAAAAAAAAAAAAAAAAAAAAAAAAAAAAAAAAAAAAAAAAAAAAAAAAAAAAAAAAAAAAAAAAAAAAAAAAAAAAAAAAAAAAAAAAAAAAAAAAAAAAAAAAAAAGAAAAAAAAAAAAAAAAAAAAAAAAAAAAACAAAAAAAAAAAAAAAAAAAAAAAAAAAAAAAAAAAAAAAAAAAAAAAAAAAAAAACAAAAAAAAAAAAAAAAAAAAAAAAAAAAAAAAAAAAAAAAAAAAAAAAAAAAAAAAAAAAAAAAAGATATTATTATTGCCAGATTTTTATTTCGTGATTAGGCAGCGCTTTTTCCAACATTACTAATTAAAATTTACATTCTACAGATGTACGATCAGAATCGGCTGGATCCCACAGTATCCTATCTGATCGTAAATGATGGTTGGGAGGCTACAAACCCGGAAATTGAAGTACCTCAGCGAGTCTCTTACAATCTCGATTTAATGATGCTATTACTCAAAAGAAAGATAAGTGATCAATTTTCTTTGGTTCTGCATGAAGTTCTGATCACCAGCAAAGAGAGTAACTCGTCTAAATTCCAGCAGTGGAAAGTAAGTTGTACAATAATATTTTTAACACTAAATGTAGGGAAACGTTTGATTTCTTTACCATCGGTAAAATATGATGGAAATGTTAATGCAGACAGAAATAATATAATAAAGCCATACAACTATCGAAAAAATTTGTTAGATCATTACTGGAAAAGCGAATATTTGCTAAACTTAAAATCTGCAAATTGTATAACACCGACAAAGGTCAAAGGAGACTTTAAGGTGAAGGATGTAGTCTTGGTTGGAGACAACAAGTCGCCTAGAAATATGTGGAATTTAGGCAAAATTGTGGAAACGTATACTGGACGCGACGGTAAGATACGATCGTGCAGTGTAAAAACTTAAATCTGGTATAGTGAAAGGACCAATACACCTTTTGTATCTATTGGAACTTTCAGAATAGACTATATGCTGGGAAAATAAGACAATTTGAACTTTCATATTTCATTTAGAATTCTATATATTATTATCAATATTATTAGAATTATTAGTTATTGTTTTGTTATCTATTATTGTAGTATTTTCATTATGTTGTTTTTTATATTAATTGTAGTATTGATAATTAATTATTATTGTAATTGATAAGTATGTATAATATTAATTAGTTAGATTTAATTGATGAACTTGCAGTTCGGGGAGGGACAGGATGTTATAAATTGATAGTTCGCGCCGTTAGCTGGCGCTCCGAACGTCTTGTCTCTGTTGATATTCTGTAACTTAACTGTTAGATCATTCAGTATTCTTCATTAAATGTGCCCAATAATTTATGACCATCTTTAATTTTCTTACTAAATGTTAACTTATAATTTTCATTTTGCTTAAAATACTAAAGCACTGTTCTAAAATTATAAATTCCCTCCCCAAACATGACTACGATTAATGACTAACTTTACTTAAAAAAATTTATTGCCAGGAATTACCATAGAAATATACCTCTTTATTTTAAATTAGTCTCGTGCTAATTATACCACCCAGTTAATGCAAAGCCTCGTATTTCGAACCAAACTGATTGACCACTACCCATGAAACTTTCGCAATAGTTTGCAATGAAGCAGACAGTGGTAAAAATCGAAACCTGCCACCCCTTTTAAGTAAACCTGAATATACGGACCTGAATATACGGATGGAAGAATGCTGGGGTTCCATAGAGTTTCTGTTACATAAGCATATGTGAAATAGGCAGAAGGTGCTTTTATTTGATTCGGTGATTCAAGAAGATTATTGTATATGAGCCTGATCTTATTGCAGATGAGGCCATTTTACATGTAAACGGTTGAGTAAATTACTACAATTGTCGAATCTGGGGCTCTAAAAATCCATACGTGACATCTAGAAACATTCAAGATTTGCTTAAGGTTAGTGCCTAGTACGGCCTAATGAAAATAATATTTTTACTTTTTTGTGTTTGTTAAAACTATATCAGTTTCTGTGTGTACATGCGTATGCTGCATATCCTTTAGTTCCCTCAAATCGAGCTAATGGAAGTAGAAGGTAGTGAATTGTGAATGTTCTTTTAGTAAGATGAAAAACCGCTCCACTTTGAGAAACACGTGTGAGACGAACTGTATCATCAATTTCCAGAACATTAGATTAGCAGAAATGGACTTATTCCGTGACCCACAAAAAATCTTGTTCTTATTCTTCTCGGCTTCTTTATCTGGAGTTTTGTCTTCCCCCCCCCCCCCCCCCCCGAAAAAAAAAAGTGAAAGAATTGGCAATCATGATCACTTCAAGGGAAAATCACACTACCAACTACAGCATTTCAGACTCCCTAGCATTCGAAACTAAATATTCTTCTGACCCCTTCGTGCTGCTAGTGGTGCACATATTGATTAATTTTGTTCGTGATATTTTTGACTGACTGAGTTAAATACAAACATTTTCAATCTGTTTTACATAGCGCATACTTTATAGAGACCTCATGAAATCCCAGCATTCATTCTTAAAGACCCTGTATATATACAAAATGGATCTTAACGCTGTTAACAATTTGAAGAATATTTAGAGAGCTCGAAATGCAATAATTATGAAATATGAGCTCGTAGTCTATAAAATAATCTGATAGACTAGATCACAGAACAGTAACAGTGAGCCTTCAACTTCCAGACCTTAATATTAACTATTTCACCACTTAGTTCTTCGGCCTGTTCTTTGTTTCATCAACTCAAAGCTTCTTCAAATGGCTCGATATTCTCACGTTTTACCTTTTCAGTCGCGGACTGAAATTTACATTAAAAAGTTTCTACAATATTCACTCAGAATTTCTCCAAACGCCAACAGTTCCTGTTCGAAATTTCTGCATTACAAACACTCTGTATACTTCTTAACCCTAGTATCAATCTCTAAACTTAATCTATATGTTACCGGCAAAGTAATTAAACGCTGGGCATTCTACAGAATGTCTAGGCATTGTATATAATGCCGGTCGTTTTTAGGCAAAATTTGAAATATGAGAATTATTACATACTTTCCCTAGGCACTGCATATGATACCTAGGCATTCTATAGAATGACAAATGCTATTTATTAAAAGTATGAAAAACGGTTTTGATAAGGCTATTATATAAATGATGTGAATTCCTCAAAAATACAAATGTTATTCTGAAAATATGATGAGAGTGCCATTAAACAAATTATTCAAAATACGTAAAGAAAAGTGGAAGTTGTACAAAACAAAATTTATGCCCTTCTTATTAAGGGAAACAAAGTTTTCGTATAAAAATTAATAAATTAAAATTAACCTACTTGTTGCAATATGGTAGGCTTGAATGACATTTTGAATTACATTTCATTACATTTTTCACGCAAAGACATTTCATATTTTGGCACTTTGTTTTACACATACTTTTGACAAATTCTTGGTCGCTTCCACTTTCGTGTTCAGGTTTATCTTCAGTTCTAAGCAAGTTCATAGGACATAAAGTGAATTGTGATCTCTCATATACTTGTTTTAAAATTCCTTCAGAAGTTCCGAGTCGGTAGAAACCATCCTCTGTCACACTCATGTTTTTATTTATAACTGCCAATATATTTCGCGAATCACATCGCCTCTTGTCGACGTCAGGGATAGTTAACTTGCACAGTAGTTCCCAAATCCAAGGGAAAGTTTTTGTTTTCCGAATGCATTTTAAATTTTTTGGTTTGTATTCACAGATTGATTTTAGAATTTATTTTGCTTTCAATAGCATTTTTAATTTTCAAACAAAGGGTGCACAAAACATCCATTTCATCATCTTTACTAGCATGGCCACAGAAGGTATGAATTCCTGACGAAACTTTTTGCATGCAAGTGAATCACTCATCTCGTTTAAACACACACAACAGGTACAAGAAAAGGAAATCTCTGCGGTAAGCATGTCTTCATCATGTTGGTTTAATCCACTATCGACTATAATCTCATCTATGTTGTTTGAAATAGGCTCTTTTTCGTGTATAATCTGATTAGTTTCACCTTTTTCCATCGTTTGGACGCTTTCTATTACTTTTCTAGCTGTTTCTCTGTACCTATATACGAATTTCAGATGTATTTCATACTTTGGAGGTTTCTCATTTGGCATTCTGGGGAAATGTGTGAAATATGGCAAAAATATATTAGCTTTGGAGCCAAAAATAGTTTCATGTGGTGTCTTTTGGTCCCAGAATGATACGCTCTGTTTTCCATAAATTGAGCAAAACGCAGTCCTTCTTTCCAGTGGTCAGATTTGCTGTCCTGCATCCAAATACAGAGCATATTGTCGATATCTTGATTAGCTATCTCGACACTCTGGCTTAGTGAAAGGCGAGGCTTTCCATGGACGATCTTCGGTGCTGGCCAAAACTCCTTTAAGCTGGTCACCACATTAATGGCAAATTCATTACCATTGTTAGACTGTAATATAGATGGCGCTGAAAGCAACGATAATATGTCTGCGAGGTTGTAGGCTACTTTTTCAGCTCTTTTTGACGTTAGAGATTTGAGAGTCACAAATTTTGTAAGATGATCTTGGTACACCATAATAAATTTGTATTTTCTATCTGACTAACACTGAAAATCAATAAAATCTACCCGACAACGGGATTTACATTCGGAAAAAATCATAGGTTTCACAACAATACCTTTTTGAACACATTTCTGTTTTTTCTGGCAAGGTTCATATAGTTGGGTGTACAGTTCAATATCATGAACTGTAATTTTTTTGTTGAACAAATTTCAGTAAAATTGCGCATTTTGACACTTCCGAACAAACCACAAAGTGTAATTGACAAATTCTGAGCCTGAAGCGCGCGTTAAGTCACGTGCCTTGCCACGTGATATTCGAAAAGAATTGGAGATGTATTTCATACTTTGCCGGTTTCTCATTTGGCATTCTATGGAATGCCGAGGAAATGCCTGAAATGTGAATCGATTCATACATTGCTGGCTAGTTTTAGGCGTTATATGCAATGCCTAGGCATTCTATACAATGCCGGATTTCAAACTTTGCCGGTAACACATATATGAATAAGATCTAGAAATTAATCAATCAATAAATTACTTTTAAATATTTGTAGCATATTTAATTTAAATAAATCATGCAAATGAGCCCTAAAGTTCATTTGCATGATTTAGAATTTTCTAGACTCGTATAGATAGAGAAGATCTATTTGCTTCTGCTGTCGTGTGGAGCGTAGTTGAATCGTCAAAGACGTTGTGGAACTTCCAGGAACAGAATTTACAGAAGAAATGCTCGTACTTCAATACATCTGAATCTCCTGATGAGATATCTTTTAAGTCTCTCGTATTGGTAAGGAAAAATCTTTCGTTTTAAAACGCGTAATAATTCTTTGTATTATTCGAAATATGACTGGATTTCTGAAAGAGAAATGTAATTATTTTAATGAAAAATGAGTGAACGAAAAAGCAAAGCAATAAAACTGCATGTGAATATCATTAATGTATTTTTTAGCTTTTTGAAACATAAATTACTAGAAGTAAAATGCCTTCGGCATGCCCGTTGTCAAGTTATAAATTGAAGAATATTTCGTACTAGTAAATCACATAACAATTTCACTGAATTCTGTTAAATGGCAGAAAAATCAAGCTCAAATTATCCTAATTTATTTTTTAACTAGCCCGTAAAAGAAAACAAAAAGTTTGGTTTTCTAAAAATGAAAAATCCATGAAAGTCTCAAACGTAAAATTAAACATTCTCATATGAAAGTAAAACTTCCAGGTTTTTATTTCTTAATCTGAAGAAACATTTAATAAATATAACTGCATAGACCGGGTCTTCGTATAAATAGCTAGATTTCGTAATTTTTAAGAATTTAAAATACCAGAAGATGAATATTTACGTCATTTAAAAAATTTTTGTAATTGAAATGTATATCTGTAACCAATAGTTGCAGAAAAAGCCTGTGTAAGAATTTTCAAGGACACTGCACATACAACTGACATTTGAAATACTCGGGTTTGAATTTCTAGGGTCCATTTACTATATGCGAGCGCCCACCTAAGACCGCGTGGTAAAAAGGATGCTGAACACTGGTAGTTCGCCTTGTCTAAGATCTTGGGTGAATGGGGATAGTTGTATGAATGTTTTTGTTATTTCCGCTTGCGTAACGTGATCATGATCCGGTTTCCCTTGAAATAGCCTCCACGAAGACATTCATCTTCTTACGCAAATATTCCTCGCGTGATTTGCCATACTTCGATATATTTATATGCGGAATTTTTAGAATGAATGTATTATAAAATTTTTGAAGATTTACAATAATAATAATAATACCGTCAGATAACCAGTACAGCTTACAAACACCAAAAATTTAGCAAACATTATGTATCTCATAAATGCAGACAATATGTGTCTATTTTTTTATTCTTCATAACCTTAAAATAACTATAATATATATATATATTATTAAATTTAAAATTTGTGAGGTTTTTGGTACCCAAATACTTGCATGTAGTAGTTTTCCCAACGACAGAAACGTAAACAGATATAAAGCTGCATATCGCATCTGATAAAATTAATTGTTATAATCCTGCAATAATGATTGGTCGGGCCATCTTTATTTGATAATAAGAATCAATTACTGTTTGTTAAGAAGACTCTTTTGAAGTATATAATAGTAATGTATGCTGATAGGTGAAAGCAGTGCAGGTCAATGTTCAGGCATAGGCCGACTTTGACTTTTTAGGGCTGGGATATGACGCCTCAAACGATGGAGCTAAAAGTACTTTTCGAGCTCAAGTACTGCGGTATCTGTGATCACTGCTCATCTATCGTATTTTGTAACTTATAAAACTATTTATGTTAGGCTCTGACATCGCTGAAAAATCAGAGATTCAAAAAGACATTTTCAACCTGTAAGCTCATAAGCTCTTGGAGCAAACAATAAAATTCTCTCGTTGAATTCTGCGAATACTGTGCAAGTATAAATTCTGCCCCATTCTGCGTGTGGATTGGATTATTTAACTATGGTAAATCATACGAATACTATCTGTCTAAGAGGAGGGGTGATTTGGCGGAGGAATTTTAACGGAAACTGTCTCGTATTCATTTGCTCACGAAGAACATTATGGAAACCACCATGCAGCAGTCCATCCGCAGAGATTGGAATTTGTCCAATTACCAGCGATTAATTCAGTGATTTTATGCAGGCTTTGTCATTGGCCTTCTGTGAAATGTATTAATGAAACAGCATCGAAAGGTTAAAAATAAAAGACAAGACCTCTTTGGTTTTCAGTTCTTTTGCTTAATGGTAATGCTGGAAAACACATTGATTTCAATCCTTTCGTCGGGAACAAATCCATCAGTTTTCATTTTTCAGCTTAAAGGTACGGCTACTTCTTACATACTCCAAGTATATAAAAAATAAATGTCGTATATTTTTCATTATAACAGATCCATGTAGAAGCCGAGAGGTAAGTATTTACTGGAAAAATTTAGTTAAAAGGGAAAACCCGTATATGAGCGAAATCTATGTATAGCCAAATATTTGAATCCCTATAAATATCTCTTAAGTATCTCGATAAATTCGTCTATGTATAGCAAAATATTCGAATTACTGATCGTCTGATTTAGTTAGATTTATAAAAGGAGTTGGAAGGGAGTGCCAAGTCCTCATCCTCCCGAAAAATGAACCAGAAATGATTGTGCGATCTTTAAATAAATACATCAGCAATGTTATGGACAGAACTGAAGATGATATAATTTAGAAGGCGGGTGATACGATGTTAAGAGGTAAACAAAGAACGACATTCTTCACCCATACTTATCTGAAACACAGAGAAGTTTCCAAAACCTGCTAGAAAATTCAGAAGTCAGATATTGATATTGGGAGGAATCTGATGTCGTGTATTAAGATTATAACAGCTCTTTCAATGAACTTCAAATTACTAGTGGTTTTAATCATTGATCGAATTATTTCGAAGTTATTTTGAATTCGCAGATAAGCCTATCCTCAAATTTAAGTAGCAAATAATTTGCAAAAAATTTTTGGTTTATATATGGATGACCTTTCATAAACTCTGCTTGCTAATTCACACTTAACAAGACAATTATAAGAACGGGAAGCTGCAATTGAAATTAAAATTATCATTAGTAATATTCGAAAATATTTACCTTTAGACTTAATTTTCGGAATGTCAAATATAGAAGTTTTCGTAACAACAGGCAAGAAAAATTGAATAAGTTATCCAAAGTTCAATGTATAGTATAAAAGTTCTGCTACGAATTTTTCTGATATTCTAAGGCTGATTGTCCGTTTCTAGTTAATGCGACTATTGCACTTAGTTGCCAAAATTAGTAACTTTAATCATCCTAGCGTTGTGCAGATTTCAAATGTCATCGAATGGGTGACCTCTCAACCAAGGAAGTACCTGAATACATCGATAATTTTTATTACAAAACTTGAATGTTTTAGTTGAGTAAAAAATAAAAGGATGATTTTAAATGCATGCTGGAAGTTTCAGGTAATTTTAATGAAATATTTGAAATTAAAATTTGTATCGCAGATGTTGCTCTTTCCTTCTTGTGGAATTATTGTAAGACTGAAATTTTGTAGATTAGTAAAGATATTTTAGCAAATGCTTTTAATGAATAACTCAACAATAATAATAAAGTAGCAAAAATATTCACATTTTTAACTCCCAAAAAAGCACTCTTTAGAGTAATTCATTTCCTAACTGAAAAGTCTGTAATAACCGGATATAACGTTTTATTGTTTTAGAATCGGATGAAAGACATCGGTGTCCTGGCTGGAGATTTGCAGTATGCCTTGCTGAGGAATATTCCGGTCGATTCAGAGACAGAAATGTTTCGTCACATAGCCGATTGGAAGGCATCCGTAAAACCCAGGTTCCGTTATCTCAACAAAAATATTGAAACGCAATTACTTTTTGAGAACAGGACCTTAAAAATAGCATTGCCCTACGTAAGTGTTCAAAGGTTTATAATTTATTTTCATTGTTTAACATGTAAGCAACCAATTAATCGTTAATTTAGGCAAAAAAGCAATTTTAGATGTGGCGTTATATTTTGATTAAAACTCTATAAATTTGGAGAGCAACTAAACATAGGTTCCTTTCATCCTGAACAGAAGCAAAAAAAAAAAAAAAAAAAAAAAAAAAAAATTTTTTTTTTCGAAGGTGGTATGACCTACAACAATTTTATATAAACATAAGAGAGAGCAAAGCGAAGTAAAGCATAGCGCCTTATGTCGAGGGAAATAGTAATAATAATCGTTGCTTTTTTGCCTGATTTAAAGTTTTATACTGGCATATTTCACGTCCAATTAAAGTATTTGTTATTCTAAATAAATTCATACATTTTGCTTAGCTTAACAGCTTAATTTTTAGTTGGAAGAAAAGTCTGACGACTTTTGGCGAAATATTATTTGGCTCTCCTTACAAGGCTTGCTTCAATATAACATGGCTTCAATATAACATTACAAGGCTTGCTTCAATAACATGGTAGCTTGCTTCAATATTGAAAGAGGAAGCTTGTTGCCAATCGCTATCCCCAAAAATCATCAGAACCAAATGTACTCTCCGAATTAAAGCTTCTTCAATGAACGTAAAAAATGACACTATGAGAGAATTATTTGTTAGGGAATAACTGAAATTATTTTGTTTATTACAAAATTATTTTGTTTATTACAAAATAATTTCACTTCTAGCGAACCTCGCATGATTTATTTACAAACTCTATTAATATTTTTCATTTCCGATAAAAAAAAATTGAATTTAAAGTAATATTGATGAAGATAAGAAGATTTCTAGCTAAAAAATCTCTAACCATTATTACAAATTGCGTGTTTAAATTTTACTATCGGTTCTTGGTTCATGTTTAACTACCTTAACAAATTATGCAAAGCATTCGAGGACTATTTGCCTAATGGGAATATCGTCTACATGGACGATTTTCTAATGGAAATCCTCTTATATTCATGTTATGCGAAGGAAAATATCCATTCAGCTAGGCCATATGCTGGGATTCGAATTTAGCTTGAATTACCGGTGCTCAATGGTCTTACTCATTTGGCCACTGGTGAGCCAAGTTCATGTTTAATAGTCTAAGTAAACAGCTTGTTGGAAAGAGGAACGAGACTTTTCTTGCAGTTTTAAAAGAGTGGGATTAAATATGAATCGGGTGAAAAAGGGGAATTTAGCGCAAGTAGTGCGATAGGTACCATTAAAAACATTCCTATTAATGAGATTAAATATCACAGATTAATTAAAAAATTTGTAGGATTACATAGTTTATGAGGACTGGAAAATTCACGTTGAAATTTCAGTTGAAAATTGTAGACTCTCTCGCAAACTCTTTTTCTGAGCTAAACAGCATTAAGACTGAACGTCTAAATAATTGTTTCAAAGCCAGTCGCTTTTAGAATTTCTTCATAATGACACAGTGCACTAACAGCAAGGGGCACCCAGACCTGGCTAGCTCGATGGCCGCCGTAACCTATTAAATGACCCAACCGCTTGAGGCCATCCAAGGAGGCAAAACGCCCCGGTCAACCCAGGGGAACGATTCTTGTTTCACCATGTCTGAGAAATGCAACACAAAGGCAAAGGCTGGCATGCACCGGAAAAAGCTTAGAACATACTTCGACATGGACTGTCCCCAATTGTTGACCATGGAGGTAAGAAAGGTCTTACTTCCTACCTCCATGTTATTGACTAAGGGGAGCCCAAACCCCCAAGGACAATCTTCGATATCAACAACGTAACGGCTTCACAACCAAGGCGCAAACAAGACAGTACCATATGGTTGATCCCTGGGAGGTCGAGCCTGAACCCAAAGCTGAATGTATAGTATTGAAGCAGCTTTGCTTGAACCTACCACCGAATGAACGATGGTTCTAGTCATTGTGAAGACTATTAATTTTTCCCCAGACGTCGAGTCTGTCTAAATATTGACCTAGCCAGAACGCCGGGATTGCTCCCAGTCGCCCCCCCCCTGGGGATCTTTATAGTGACATCGAAGGGCAACTTATTTTTCTTTAATCTCATGTCTTCAAACGAAGCTCAGAACTTAACCAAATTTGTAGATGTTTTATAAAATGTCGCGAAACTGCCAACGAATGTTGTCACGAAGCCTAAGATTTCAATGGGCAATATTCTGAATTCTCTCTCTTTACAGGTATCTTTGGTTAAAGTCATAGAATTCTACAAAATGCAAAATAAAAGCGTAATTATGCGTATAAATACAAAATAAATCTATAAAAATTTCAGATGCTATAAAAAGGCAAAAAATACACACTTATTTTACAATAAGAGAAGATACAACACAAATGTGTATTAATAAAAGACAAATGTAGGCAAACGTATTCAGTTATCTTTCAAACTTAAAATATATATATATATATTGCCACTTTAAATTACTTTTTTTTTTCTCTTCATGCTTTAAAAAGTATTAATGCCAGCCTAAACATGATATCAGAGAACTTTTCAAACATGATATCAGAAAACTTTTCACGGAGAATAACAATTACCTGTTATTAAATTTTTGTAACAGGAATAAAACTTATTCAAGACTATTTGAATAAAAAAAATTTGAAAATTCAATTGTGAACAGAAGAGTAATATAAAATTTTGCTTTACTGATATGTAGCTCCAAATGCATGAAACACAAGTCTACCAAAATGTGTTTTAAAACTATGATAAGTTAATAAGTTTTGTAACGAGCTCCTTGACAGCAGTACATATTTTAATTAGTTTTAATGCTACTGTGCCTTACTATGCTCTCAATTTTCTCTTCTGTTTCTGGTGTGGAGTTCTCAAAATATTTTAGCCGGTATTTTATTCAAAGAAATCGATGTGGTTATGATTTAAATTAACAGCAAAACTGTATTATAATGAAATAAAAGAAATTTTGAGTTTACTGTATCAAGTATCAGCGCAAGTGACATTATTGTAGTATTTAAGCATTGTCTGAATACGTTTTAAGAAGCAGAGCGTCATTTTGACATCGCCTCCTACGTATTTCACTGTCACGTGCCATCCGATTAGATTATTTTCTAGATGTAGCATTGTAAAATCGCCTCATCTGGGAAAATACGAAGGAGAACATATACAAAGGTTATTAGAGCCAGAAAAGTTAAATTTTTAATTAAACAAATTATTGCAATGTCATATTTTTTATAAATATTTTCCTTATATTTGCATTTAAACAGATTTCAGCACTATTTAGCTTTATTTAAATTTAAGTTTTTCTTAATAATTTTACTTCAAAATTTCTATTTTACAGAATCCGCCTTACACATTTACAGATGGAAAAGTACAGGGAGCTGTCGGGAAGCTGTTCGACTACCTTGTAAAGAGACTGAAATTCAAGTAATATGAAACGCAAACGTCGTAAAAATTCACATTTAATTAATGTTGAAGCTTGTCTTTAAATTGTTAAAATGATCTGGAAAATGATGTACATAAATTTTCGTCTTTTTGGAGCATATTTCTGACTTATAATTCATGTAAATCTTCATCTATGAAGAAAGTGAACTTTTATATTAAAATGTGAAATATCACTTATTTCAGCCGAAACCTTGTAGAGTCATTAGGTATTTTCTGAGAGCAGGAGAGATGAAAAATGAGGAGAGCCCTCACCGGGACTCCAGCCACCGGACCTCTCGAATACGCGCCGAGTGTGCTGACCACTACACCATGAAGGCACGCTAAGAAGGCGGGAGAAATACCTTATAAAGTTTTCAATGACACTGAATATATTTACAGCGCTTGCAAAACGCTTGCTTATTCTTTCTTTTCTTCTTTTTACTTAGATATGAGGTCGTTTGTCCTGAAGATAACGAATGGGGAGTATTAATGGAGAATGAGGAATGGACTGGCGCTGTAGGAATGCTTTTGAATCGGGTAGGTATTGAAGAACTGTTGAGATTTAAAAAATACCATGGTTTAAAGTATATTTCATACAAGTTGTAAATTCGAATTTGAAACTTGTATGAAATTCATGCTAACAGAAAGACTTCTTAAAAATTAGATTTTTTGGTAACGTGTCATATGAAGCAAAGATTTGCACGTTTATTGCGAACCTAATGTGATGTGAACTGTGTTATTAACCATTTCATTAGGTATAAATAAGAGAATAATAATTATGCCTTAAGAAAACGATATAATTTCTTCAGAAAAAAAAAAAAAGGGCACAAAACTATGATATACAAAATGGATGAACAACAGAATCACAGAATTTAAAATGGAAATATAGAATTTAATTTAAGCTAATTATTTTAGTTTAATAATGGTAATAGCTAATTGACTGAAGTCTCTGCAAATCGACCGTTCACAATTCTAGATGACTTGGTCTCTTGTGGAGGTGATCACCTTTAAGAGGTGATGCGTTGTACCGACTTTTATGTTTCCAAGAACAATAATCACTTCCAAAAGTGATCGTCTTCGGGATAATCTAAGGATTTACCTAAAACAAAATTATTATTCATTAAAGCACAATCTGGTGTTCTTTCTTAAATTCATTTAATAAGTTCATATTTTATACTTAACACTTTGCGTTGATGGTATTATGTAAAAATTCTAAATTTCAAACAATGAATAATATAAATGACTGTTTTTATAAAAAAAATATAAACTTTTTCCGACAATTTAAGAACTTTGTATAATATATATTTTATTCCTCATCTTTGATCCTTGAAAGTACAACATTTTAAGGTCTCTTTTTCAAAAGAGTTGCTAGTATGTTAAAAATTTTCTTTGCAAAAATATATCTCTATTGTTTGATAGGAGAAAGCACAAAACCTGTTCTGATACGGCTTCCCCTTTTCACAGTATGATAAAAAAGAAGTCCTTCTGTTCCTTGTTGAACAATATAATAGAGTTTTCAAAGGGTAAATATTCCTTCTCTTCCCTCTTTTTTCATACTGAATGGAGAGCATAAATTACCTGTTTTAAGAAAAAGCGTTTACTGAACAAAAGAAAAAAAAATGATTGATTGCTAGAACTATACGATGCTAAGATCGATACTCTTTTTCAAAATACACTTCTTCAATAGGAAATAAATTTCGATATCATTTGTATTGAAATTTTGGCTTTCGTTTATTCTCTAGAAAAACATACATAAAGAACCATAAAGAAATTTATTGAGTTCTATAGAAACTACCCAAATAAATTAAACCGTGGAAAACTGTAAGCATTCTCTTTTTTTTATCTCTTTCTGAGCTGTCGTTAGTACTTTGAACCCTCGGTATTTTAAAAATAAGCGAATCCGAATCTATTTGAGCCCAAAATATTTAGCTTTAACTTAAAAAATTCTACGTAACAGTTATTTTTTAGTAAATCACAAGTTATAGATTTACTAATGAACTTCTTAGCTCTTAGCAAATTCTTCCTGAGTTAATTCGTGCAAATTGTCATTTAGATTCATATTTGTGGTCTTAGATGTAAGAAATTATTTGTTAATTCTATTACCTCATTTTCCCCAAAAATCTATTTCTTTCAATGCTTTATTTAAAAAAAGATCAGTGAGAGATTTTAAGAATTGAATAGTTCAAGTTCAGTTGTAAATTTATCTATCAATATCTTTTCATTTTTACTTAAATTCGTTTCCATTTTAATGCCTCCCTTAATATTTAATTGAGTGCAGCATTTTGAGTATTTAAGGTGATATTTTTTTCTTATCTTGATAATTGCTCCATTTATTTCTAGATATATATTAAGTGAAATTTTAATTGATAAATGAAATCATTAAGTTTCTTTTCGTAATTAGACGATTTTGCATACTTGCAAACCTAAAACAAATAATATTTTTAATATAAATTTTCTTCTTTATTTCTTTCATCGCTAGCTTACGTCTTTTAGATGCATAACATTTAGAGATGCACGTTTTGTATAGCAATAAAAATAGAAAACAATAATCTTATCCTATATCTTTTCTCGACTGAATTTTGAAGAAAGTGATATCAGTGGTACTAGCATCCTTTCTATGAACGAAGAATGTCAACTTGCTGCAACTTAACACATTTTTCAAGAATACACCACAAAAAAATATTTCACTTGAGGAATTTTTGTTTTAAACGTGCGAAGTCAAAATAGTTAAATATTCTTTTACACAGTTTGAAAGTGCTCCCTAATTTAATTTATAACTCCGCTGTTCAACTGTTCCTACAAGTATGCTTACCTAACACGCTTCACACTGATATTACACATTTGTTAATATTTGACGTGGGCTAATTATCGCCGTGCACAACTTATTTCGTAGTTAGATGGCTTAAAATTGAATAATATTTAATTTAGTGACTTCTTTTAGGTTACAACTAAAGCTAAAACATATAACACAAAATAGTCGATAACCCTCCGATGATACATTAACAAAACTGAGGCAAGTTGCAATTTTTGTAGTTTACACGAAGGACTTCATAAATATCGTACCTGGTTGTATCCTATTAACTAAGCACTTTTTCAAAAAAAGATCAGTGCCCGTATCACACAGGCATTTGTTTCACACGAACAACTGTTTCGGACAATTTTTATCCCCTGGTTTACTATTGAAAGAAAGACGCGCGATTTTTTCCCTTCCTAACCAAAAAAATTGCAAGTTGTTCGTTTTCAACCAATCAGCTATCATTTTCGAATGCTATCTGCTTGTTTGTAATGAGGAACCAGTTTTCCTTGCGTTAACCCCAAAGCGATCTATGATGACTGACTGTTGTGACGAAGCAGAAAAAGTGTTCCAAAGAGTTGTTCTTCCGAAACAAAGGATATAAGATAGTAGCCTAAGAGAGCATTTACAAGGAGGTTTAGCTAACATAATTGTTCATAGTTATAAGCACACGAGCCATTAGCTTCGTCCAGACTTGTGGAGCAGAGTCTAAGCCAGTGATGACGAACTTGCGTCTCTTGCAATAGTCTCATTATTGGCAAACATGTGCAACGCTTACTCCTGACGTTTGTGAATGGAGAAATCCAAGACGCACTCGTCAGACATCCCTGAAAGATGAGTTATCTTTTCCCGCCCATCGTTTTTTGACCATTAGTCTTGTAACTATCAAGAAGTATGCGGGCGTTCTTTTTAGTGCTAGCTTTGATAGCATAGTTTCTTGTTTACTGTTAAAAAGGAACATTTATAGATAATCTAAACTTATGTGTTAAAATCAGTGTCAAAAGAACGTTTTAATTTTTTTTTGGAAAACTTTCTATTGTGCCTGGAAACGTAGCAGAATGTAAAATTAAAACCATATTACGGATGTTTAAGTGAAGAGATGTTTTCTGGTTTTCAGCTTCTGGTTTTCAGCAGAGATTTATTTAGTTTGACTAACAGTTTATTTTTTATTCCTTTCACTTAAGTTACCATCCACGCTTTCCTGCCAGAATGCTAATGAGGCAGCCCGCGTGTATTCAAATTGAGGACGAAAGAAGTGCTGTTTAAGCAAAGGTTTCGGAAGGTGATTTTGGAGCGTGTTATACTTCATTGATGACCACGTTGTTACTTTAACTTACTAGCGATTTGATTCTGTGGCGTTGAGTGCTTCTAGCCATTAAGCCTGTTTGTACCGGGTTCTACGAATCAGAGCCTTCTTGGGCTATAAATTATCCTGTGAGCCGTTAGGCTAGTTCAGTTACGTTTTGAGCTCAACATTACCTGTCTGAGTTAAGCCAGAAGTGTTGACTTTATGTAAGATCAAGTAGGGCTATCTGTTCAAATATATGTGATTGAATAAAGGGTTTTCTACACCCTTCTTCTGACTTTTCTGTTGTGTTAAGGAAAATTTCTCATAAAATCTTTTTAGAACTCGTTAGTTTATGCTATCTAAAAGACCAAGACTCTATAAGCTTATTAAATAAGCAGTAGGGGTACGGTAATATTTCCGACAAAAATTTAGAAATATCTAGTTCCAGATGAAGTTTGGAGGTAAGAAGCGGACGAAAAACGTTGCCATGTTTTTCAAATGTCATGATTTTCTTCTCTCCACGAATGATACGGTTTTGCCTGGGATGCGTTTGAGTGCGTTCCTGGCAGACGGATGGTACTAGGGGTTTTTCGATTTTTGACACGCCGAGCTCAAAAGATTCTCAATCACTAGTCTAAGCTCTAAGCCGTAGCTGATCAAAGAAGGTAAATTCAGCTGACATAGCGAAATCGTCGATTCGATGTCATTTCATGCTTGCTTGGTCGAATTTTATGTCATGTTCGCGAGAAGTTGAAAAGTTAAAACACTTAGATAAAATTCTCGTACTTTCCTGAATATTCCCTAAAACCATTTTTTAAGTAGCATAGAAAACGGAAATATAATGGCCTCCGATCAATACAAACTGGAATTAATGTTCTTCGAGGTAGAGCCTAGACGTTCACTACAGTAGGATTGGTTGAAGGTGTTACACACAGTTGCAGTTAAGTTATCTCGCTTTTAAACTGTCCATGGCGTGCGTTTAATTTGCATAATCATGTGATGTTAGAAAATATGTGTGATGTGCACCAAAGCAAAGATAGGCGAGTGTTTAACTTAGCTTAAATGTCAGCAAAATTTAAAAATAATTGTCCCAAATTTAAATAAGAAACATAGGTTTACTGTTCTGAGGCTGTTTAAAATTTTTTGAGCGGTACATTTATCCAGAAAATTAGAAGCAAAAACTGCAAATCTTTATTGTCTTAGTGAGGAATCTTCTCATGTATAAACTGAAATTTTAATTTTTAATTTTCAGACTGCAGATCTGGTGCCTTTTCTGGGAATCACTCGTGGGCGAGATAGTGTTTTGGAATTCTCAGAACCTGTGATGACGACCAGCAGCTCCATTTTAGTCCAGAGACCCAGAGAACCACCTAGAACGTTAATTTTCCTCAGACCTTTCTCCAAGCATGTAAGTCTTATGCAAAGGCGAATATTCCGCGAAGGCATCATAGGTAGATAGCCTCTCTATTTCTTTTCCATAACTGATTAAACAGGAGAAGGAATCAGCAAGCATTCATGAGGGGGGGGTGGCAGAATTACGAAGAAAATACTTTTCGCTGCTTGTGTTGTTTTAAATTTATGTAGTTTATATATATATTTTATTAAACTTAGTTAAATATTTCCGTTTATTTATTTAATTTTTTTGGTTTTTATTAATATCTGTTAGAGTTATGTATTGTTTTTTCGTATTTATTTATTCCTTTCGAGCATTTTATGTAACATCTTTGTTATGTGCTTTTGTTTAATCAAATTCATGACCGCTTGCTATGTTTGTAAGTATTTATTTCGTGCATTATATTATAGTACTTGCAAATTTAAATCGATTGACTTTTGAATTTTAAAGAAACCTCAAACAGAACCTGAGATATGATCACAAACTCTCTTAACGGGCCATGGTGACAAATTTTGCTGCAAAGATCGAGATATTTGGTGATTTTTGCCAATTTAGCAATATTCTTGAAAATACATTTTCGAAGCCCCAGGAGCGATTTTTCTGGAAGTTTCCAAAAGTTTTTTTGAACCGTATAAATGCAACTGCATTTATTCAAAGAGTGGGTTAGTTCAGTTAGAAGAGTCGTATGATTATATTAGACTTTGCCTTGCGAGTGATTTTTTTTTGTTTGTTTTTGTTTTTTATTTTTTAATTAGTGTAAAGCTGTTGCATATTTCATATTCTGTCAACTTTTTCTTGTTATAGTTATTAAAGGGGATGACAACGAACTGCAATAAATTTACATTAAGTATTAGTCACTTAGTTTTTTAGCGTATTAGTTAGAAGATGTTATTTATTTATTCAGGTATTACTTATATAATTTTTAACAATTGGAAAACTCAGTTTTTTTCTTTATCTGGAGCTAAAACATAGCTGCAGTATGCTATACTTTAAGAGTTGTAAAATGAACTATTCTTCATAAAACTACAATAAATTTCTGCAAACAGTATCTGTACGTGCGCATTTTATGTTTTCGTAAATGTATATAAATATCTGCGCATGCTTGTTTTAGATTAATATGTATAATTAATTTTTGTATTTTTATAAATATGTTAGCTAATGTTAAAAGCTCTGATATACCTTTGCTTGAACTCCGAAAGCTTGGAAATTTCTTGAACTTAGCAACAAGCTGATAACATTTATCAAAACATTGAAATCCGGCCACTTTCTGAAATGCCTAAAAAAAATATGAAGCACAATAAAGTCATCAAAGTTTTATTATCTGTAATAATCTGAGTTTCATATCTCATCAAAGATGTTATTATCTGTGAGGTTACCCCTTATTTTCTTATTTTAAACCCCTTATTTTTTAAGGGGTTTTCCCCTTATTTCTTATTTTCTTTCTTATTTTAAAACTTTCCTGCACTTTTGCGGTGTCCGACTTCTCGCCCCCCCCCGAAAAAAAAAACGCGAAAGGAGTTTATATAACGAGCAAGAATCTTAGTTAAAGACTGTTGGCACTTTCAGAGGGTTTTTTTTTTTTTTTTTCCTTTCCTGTTGCAATTTTTTTGTTGTTGTAAATACTTAAAATACTGTTGCATTATCAGGCAGTAAGGATGACAGTTAAGTTTCTTTAAAAAAGATTTTAGTTTTTATAACGTCTAACCAAAATACAAATAAATGCGAGAGGACGGAAATTAATCTGCCAGTCTAGAAGGTTAGTGTTTCGATTAAGATTTTCGATTACCTTATTTATTAACTGTGTGGCGTGAAATGTTATTTATTACCGTTTCAGGTATGGTTGCTGATCTTAACAACCGTTCCCATTATGGCCTGCATTCTCTGCTTTATACACAGAAAAAGTTCAATCTTTGTAGGCAGCGGTAAAAAAGAAATGCGAAGCGGTCTTTCGAAATTTTCAAATTGTCTTTGGTATATGTATGGAGCTATACTTCAACAAGGTAAGAGAAACTCAAACACTTTGGATTTCTGGCCGCATTCATAAAAAAAAAAAAAAAAAAAAAAAAAAAAAAAAAAAAAATATAAAAAAAATATATATATACTATATATATAATAATAATAAAAAAAAAAAATGTTCAGAAATAAGTTCGTCTTGCGTACATATAGCGGCAAAGCTAAATTAATACATTTGGAATTTTCAATAGCGAAATTCTCTTAGTTATTTTTGACTGTTTATTGAATGAAGTGATGCACAGGTTTACTGTGAAATGTTTAAAAGTCAGCATCGTTCTGTAGTTAAATACCTTAATACATAACGCCTTAATGCCAAAGAATCAAAACAATGTTTGGATCAAGTGCACGATGATTTATCTTTCTTCTTTTCAACAGTGAAAGAACAGTACAGGAGATTAAAAGTGGAGGGGAGATCAACAAGATTGGATTTATCTAAAACGATTGTTTTGGACATATGAACATCTTCACTCGAATAAAGTCTCTGCAGAACGAATATCTCAACTTTATTTTAGCATTTAAAACAGCAGCAAGTTAACGAAATTCAAAAAGAGCAGTTTAGGCTCAAGGAGTTAGACCCCCATTCCTTGTGCAACGCAGATTTACCTCCTAATGATTATTATCCGTTTCCGATGTTAAAATCTGACAGTTAAAACTGGATAGTAATATGCTTACATTACAATAGTTTTGCTCGTACAGTCCTGTTACTATTCTACGGTGTGAGCTATTTTTCTAGTGTTGATTTTCAGTTGTTGTAGAATTTTGATATGTTACTAAAATTCTGCTGCGAAGATACAATTCTCAAGGGAGGAGGAGAATTTCTTAGAACCTTGCCGAGTAAAGCCTGATCACTTCCTCTATTTTAGTTTTCGTCTGCTATTTCTGACAGTGGAAAGAAATAATAACAATAGTAACAAGACTGTAAAAGTAAAACTATTGTAATGTAAGCATATTACTATCCAGTTTGTACGTACTTGAGAAAAATAGTATTGTAAAGCAGTTTAAAATGACATTGAAAATCCAGTCAATGTGTAAATGAATTACAAGTTTAATTTGATTATCTCAGTAAAAGTATTGTAAATATGAATTCAGATAATGTTTAAATGTGCACATAACCGTCATGATTTTATGTAACTATCACATGTAACTTGTACAAGACAATTTTTGTAATTAACATGTCTATGCTTATACACAAGCCTTGTATGCCCATGTAATATTTATATTTATATTTTTATACGGAAGAAATATTCCCTTCTGCCAGTATGACTATTAACACTGTAAGACTTTTACAACAAAGTCAGGTCAGTGGTTATCTCGGCCGGCGCTCAGTGGAAAGAAATTTAATAACGACGATGGCATGAAAGGAGCAGTTATGGAACATTTTGAAGACAATCTTCAGATTACTTCTTCAGAGCAAGAGAATGGTTCATTTACCGATGCAAAAAGTGTATCGTGGTACAGGGAGACCGTATTGAAAAAACAGCTATTAATTTTTTCTTTTTTTACTTTAGAAGGATATGTGTGGGTGGAGATTTTGGATCTACCTGCAATCCCTCTGTCATTACATACAATGTATTGGATGCATATAAAGTGTAAGATTTCCAGAAAATTGGATTTTATTTTTTCAGCACAGAATTATACAGAATGACACTGAAACCAAAATGTTCTATGTGGTTTGTTATACCATAAAGGCTTTTCAATTGCGCCGGATTTAACAGTTTTCAAATGACAGTTAAAATTAGGAAGTGTGAGAAACCTTTAAACTTTCCTTCCTTTAATCCCTTATTGGCCAGGTAGATGGGTTTCTAAAAAATATAGTAGTGCATGAAACCTTTAAAATAGATCAAAACTCATTTAATTAATTTCTACTCTTAAGAAGCTTATTTCACAGAGTCCTAAAAAATTTCCTTTTTCGATGATGTTTTCTCGCATAAAACATGTCATCTTGAAACATTTTACCACTTAATAAGATATCATTATTCTTTCAAAAAACTTTTCTTGTTTCAAAAAATGTAGTCTTTTTCTTTCTTCATTTTATTTCATTTTATTCATTTATTTATTTTGAAATTCTTACTGAAATGCATTTATTTCCGCAGTATGAAGTAGAAACTAAAGCCATTAGACCTCATTTTTGTATCAATGATGGATATTTTTCTGTTGCTGTCAATGATTCTTTTGGCCACATACCACATGCTGCTATAAGAATTATTAGAAGAATCTCTGGCCATTTAAAGTCGCTAGAAAAGCCTCTACGTTTCGGTCCAATTTCATTCATTTTTTTTACAAAACAAAATAAACGCATATAAGGAAAAAAAACCACTAATTCACTTTTCTATCTCTTTTAACATAATATCGTCTCTTTCTGAGACATTGCATACTTTTTAAAAATTAATTGTTGAATGTTTTTAATTAATTAAAAAATAATGAAAATTTTATAAAAAAATTCAGTAATGAAAGATTAAAAAAATGTATAAAAGACGCGAGTTTTTGACTGCATATTTAAATAAAATTTAAAAAACTAAGATCTGAAATAATTTAGTTAAAAATTAAAGAAGAAATTGAAAGAAATAAGTTTTGAAATAATAGTTATGTGTTACTGAAATTTAAATTAAAAATAAAGAGATTTAATTTCAAGAAAATCAGTAAAAATATAAATTTTGAAAAAAAAAAAAAATGTTCGCATTTCGAAGTTTTTTTTATTTGGGTCCCTTTAAAATTTATTAAACGTGTTCTGCTGTATATTGTGTATACAGCAGAAATTGTGTATGCTTGACGTATGTAGATATAAAACGGGAGAAATTTCAGCCACCTCATGACACTTTCTACAAATAATGTCGATGGTTTCTATAATTATCTAAATATCGTATTCCTTCGTTTTTTAAATTCCCTTGGTTAAATGACGCGCGCGGTTTTATCGAAGTTTGCATCAGGAAAAAGTTATGTCTAAAAAGTTATATGGTATGCTTTCGTTTTCTTAAAGACTGGAAGCTCTAAATGGAGAAAGAAGCATATCATACATAATTTGTGCCTCTACGTGACATAATCTTGTGAAACATAATCTCAGGCAATAATATTAGGTAATCTTGTTGGCCAGTTGCTAATTCTAAAGTCATTGATCTTAGCAAAAGACTGATTGACTTTAGAACCTGCATTTTTTTGCCGCATGGGAGTACGTTAAAGACACTGTTTACGTGTTATTTGGTCTCCAATGCATCTTATTCAGACAGCCTTCAAAGTATGAACTTGCTGCAGAGCGTTTTTTCAAGAATTCTGTTATCATCTCAAATCTTGTAAATCTTATCTTGTAAATCTTTGCGATTTAAATAAAACTTTGATTTTTCTTTTGCCCTTACATACCTTATTGATTCTTCTGCCAGTTACATTAATGCATGTCAAAATAGTTTAATTCTTTTTGAATTTAACTGTAGCTTCAATAATTACTGAATACTTTTACCTAGATGTACTTTAATACCTCTGTTATGTAAAAATTTATCACCGGCACCTAACTAAATTCTAAAACTTTTGTTCCCCCTAACTTTTACTATCCAGTACCTTCTTTAAATTCTAAAAGTTTTGCAGCTTCTTATTTCTCCAGCACGGGGCGATAGCAACGGTTGCACCGGCTCTGGTACCCGCCAAAAAAATTATCTAAGCTTCTTCTCAGAAGTAATCTAAGTTTTTTACCGAATTTATATTTTTCAGATAATTAATGATAAATATATCCTTCTATAGGTGGTATCCATTTGCCGAATACTCTTAGTGCTCGGACCGTGGTATGCTTTTGGTGGCTTTTCGTCATGGTTGTCATGGCAACATACAGCGGAAATCTTATAGCTTTCCTCACCTTCCCAGAAGCTGACTGGAAAGTTACTTCTCTTGAAGATTTGGCTTCTAAAGAATCCATCATCATCGCATTAAAAGAAGGCACCAGCATCCATCAAGAAATTTTAGTAAGTGAAGAAATTTTAATCGATTTACATTATCATTCTTCTATACATTGACACATATAATATGGATTGCGTATTTTGACACTGGGATTACCAAGAATTGAATTTCCTTTATCTAGGGAATAGTGGATTATTTCAAACTGACGGAATTACGTAGTAATCGATTTTTAAAGGGTTGAATTTTTATGAATCGATACTAACAAAGAACACTGTCTGCTTTATCCAATTGAAAAAAGGGGGGGATAACATGTGAAATCTGAGTTAGAAACCCTCAGTCAAAAAGCGTATCATTCTTAGTTTGAATTTTTTAATTAAATAGTTGGCTTAAAAGCAAGATCTGTATATCGAAAAGTTTGCCAATTAGTGGAACTGTATGTAATACCTGAAATTATTTCAGTGGATTTCAACAGACTTGGAATGATTTAAGTAGAAATATTTAACCGTGATTAACGCAGAGTTTAAATTGTAAAATTATATCAGATTTTGAAAACGAATAAACATTATAATTCAGGTTTATTTATACATGTTTTAAATATTGAAATTACTTATGAATTGAGTTTTAATGTTATTCATTGAAAGGATTTAGTTTTTTAGTTTTCTAGTATTGATACTACTTTTCAACATTATTATTACCTATTACCTATTATTTTTATTTGAGAAGAGAGGTAAAATATAGGTATGATTATATTTATTTATTTTAACTTTGTATGTTTCAAAGCGTTTTTGAAAATTTTAATGGTAAATTCTTTCTTTTCTTTTTTTTTCCTTTCTTTCCTTAAGATTTTTCAACAGAATTACCTATTATTTTTATTTAAGAAGAGAGGTAAAATATAGGTATGATTATTAGCCCAGAAGGGCTATTAGTCTCGAAATGGCATTTTCCATTGAATCACTATAAGCGGCTGTATTATTTTTCAAATTATTGCCACCAAATATTATCGCTCTGTACTATATTTAAAGAAACTAAATAATGAAGAATCTACAGATGTCGCATGTATGTATGTTTCCCGCATGAATGCATACATGTGTATTTCTCGCATAATCTATTTAGGCTTCTCGCATTGTGAAAAAACAACGGTACCTAGAATCATCAAATTCCGAATAACATAGTCCTCCACCCGAACATGGGCACCTGGAAGCCCGAATTTGGAATTTTTTTTATTGTCTATTTCATATTTTGTAAAGCTTTAATGAATTTTTGATTAAAACACTTAACAGTTTTAAAGCGAGCAGTGGCAACACTGTCGGGAAGAAAACATTTTTATCTCCAGCACGCATGACTGGTTAACGGAAATTCTAAAGATATGCTGTTTTTAAATATTTTTAGTCTAAAGTGGCGTTAGCCCAAATGCTGTAGGAACGTGTATGTGTCTGTGAACGAAAAAGAACTCCCATTTCGGCGTAACATAAAAATATGAAAGCTTTCAGTATTTTTTAATTTATTTATTTTAACTTTGTATACTTCAAAACTTTTTCAATGTAAATCCATTTGTTTAATGTAAATCCATTTTTAAGAAAACAATGGTACCTAGAGAAGATTTTTTAAGATGTTTTTAAGCTACGGTCTGAAGTTTCCAGACTGAATTTTAACTTTTTCTTTCCACCGCCATTTTTTTTTTTTTTTTTAAACTTAATAGAAGTTGCAGCTATTCAGAACTTTTCGTAATTTTTCTTCTCAATAATTTAATAAGTGCTGCCATCTGCTATTAGAATAGATAACTAATGTATTTTTAATTTCTGCTTCCTAATTTACCATTTAGATTGTTACTCAGTTTCCTATGAAACACTTTAATATTAATTAAAATTTACATTTCGAATTACAGTATTTACACCCTTTCTTACTTTTCGTAATAACATTTTAATAAATACTGCCGTCTTAATAGTAATAATTACGGCATCTGGGCAAATCGTCCTGAGGCCCTTTAGCTCGTGGGACTTCCGGACAAGTGCCGAATGGACCCATGAGTTAAAACAGCCTTACGTCTGCTATCTGAGGAAGAACTAATGTATTTTTATAGTACATTCTTTAGAGACTGGGTAATGTTAAGTAAAACTTCACGTTCCGAATTAAAATAAAATTTAATAAAATAAAAGAAGTTATTGCTGAATGAAAGAGAAAATTAAAATCTGTTCAAATATACCTCCGCTATGAAAAACAAAATTACTTCATAGTATACCGAAAGTTTATAAAATTAATTCAAAATGAAATCCATAACAGGAAGAATTTTGCTTTTTATTTCTTAGTGCGTATTTTCGAAATTTAGTTTGCTGCTTAAATGCTCTTTCGTCTGCTCTTCCATCTTTTGCTTGTTACTATGTAATATAATTGTTTTCTATTGTTATACTTTCATATAAATACATTTTATGAGTAATGAAATAGAGTAACTGAATTTGATTGAAGAATTTTCTTATTTAAATTCAATTAATTTCCCTTTTTCATGTGACCTGATGGGGTATTTAGAATAAAGCGTTAATTCGACTAGCTTTACGATTACTTCGAAGATTAAAAAAAATGAAGATTAATTTTTAAGAAAAACTATTCATTAATGACCGTGCTTAAACTATATGAAGTTAAATTTAACGGGCTCCTCGGCTGGCTGCCCTATCCCTATAGAATCTCTATGTCATTCTCCGAATCCTTGATAGTTGAAACTGATAAACTTGACAAAAAAAAACTGAATGTCCTTAATGCGCAAAAAATTCAAAATTTTTAATATACGCTTTTCTAATGATCAGTGATAAGTAATTACTTTCGTTGCAGTGACTTAATCTGGCAATGACATCCATCTTGTGCAATGGGCAATCTGTGTTTTAGTGAAGGATATAAATGAATAAAAGCGGTAAAGTCGCTATACACTGGTAGTTCGGTCCGGGGCTCTAATGCCAGCGACTGAGCTGGTTGCATGGGTGTTTTGGGGGATTTTTCCATGGGTAATATGTATACCAGTCAGTTTCTCTTGAAAAGACTTCCACGAAGGCATCCGTCTGCCTGGGCAGATAGCTCTCGTGTGCTTTGTCGTAATCAAATTAAACCTAAACTTAATCCTGAATGAATGAGATGGGGCAAAATTTAGGAAAATAACATGAAGTTTAGTCCCCAAAGCAAAATCAGGATAATTTACTAGTTAAAAAATACGTGAATGAAAAAGTAGGACAACAGAGAGGTAGAATAAGCAAAATCGAAAGTCAGCACTAGACGGGTCATTCAGCATTTTATTTGAATCAAAACTTCTGGACCAATATATTTAGTGCTGCCATCTATCGCCAGTGTAATTAACTAACTTTTACAAAATTTCCTGCTTTAAAATAACATAAGATATGACTGTTGAGTATTAAAAAATATATATTTGTACTTTTATGTTATGAGCATAAATATTGCACCTTGTTTTAGGCTACATTATTATATGAAAATTAGTCTCTTGTGTTTATAAATACCTTTTTATGGAACTGAAGATAGCGGATTTCGGAATTACAGCCAACAACTTCAACTTGCAGTTACAGACTGTTACTCCCGGTTTAATGAAGTAATACCGGAGACGACGTCCAGTGTTAACTCAGATTCATGATTGATCCGAGGACAGGTCCGTAGAAAAGAGGAATAATCCATATTATAATTAACAGCAAATTGATTTTAACAATTTTGTAGTTTCAAGCAGTTTTAGTCTGGAGAATAAATTAAATCAGGATTCCAGTCGAAAAGAATATACTGTAAATAATGCAAGAATAAATATTTTTAAAAATGGATAAACAAAGGTATAAATGGCATTAAAGGACAGTATTTACAAGAGAACTTGAATAATACTGATTAAGCTCAAACTCATTTGAAAAAGTCGGTTAGAACATTTTAATTTTTGATAGAGTTTATCTGACATATATCATTTGTTATTACTGCTATTATTCACAGAAATTTTCTTTGCCTTTTTGTACTTTCCATGCACAGTTTCACTTTTGGACTCATGATTACTAACAGTAATTTTTCCGTGTATCCGCAATAAACGAAATTATACATTTTTCTTTTTTTGGACACGGCTTGGCAAATCCTCTTTAAGTTGATCAAAAGTTGATTTCAACAAAATATTTAACAAGCTTCAGTTCCTAATCACCAAATTCTGCCACTTTTCGAAGTTATTAGAAACTCTGGACTCTTATATGAACACAAAGAAAGGAGATACAAAACTTTCTAGATATAACACCTTTTTTTCAGTATTCTATATGAAGAAAAACTACTTAATGCTTAAACAAAGAAGACAAGTAATCATATATGAGTTTTATTTTTTTTATTTATTTATTTATTTTTTTTTTTTTTTGAGCGGGATTCTAATTAACTCGAATGCCCTGGCATAAAGTCACAAATTGAAAGACGATATATGCATAAGCATGCAAAGGATCATGATGGGATGGGAAGGAAATGGGGCGGTTAGGCGGTTAGTCGTACTTCCGCAGAAATCAAAATAAGGGATATTTCCGCAGAAATAGTCATTCATGAATGAGTAATGACAAATGAGTAAAAAATGACAAATGCCTTAAATGCGTCTCTCTAGCATTTATTAATTCTTTTCGCTTTTTAGACCACTTTCGGACTAACTGTTGAAAATACGAGCATTCACTAAACAAATGAGTTATAAGATATTTCTCTCGCCTTCTTAGCGAGCCTTCGTGGTGTAGTGGTCTGCCCGTTCAGCGCGTAATTGAGAGGTGCGCGGTTCTATTCCCGACGAAGGCGTTGCTAATTTTTCATCTTGCCTGCTTCTAAAAATCCTAATGTTTCTACAATATGTCATCTGGCAAGAAAGTGAAAGTAAAAACACTCTTTATAAAAGAATATTTATAAGATTTACATCATTTATAAGATTACAGGTTCCTAAAAGTTCTGGTTTCACGTACCATTTACTCTAATGAATACTTACTGATGCCAGTCTGCTCTACTTAAAAGTCTAATAATCTGTTCTAGTTGGTATCAAAAGACGTGGATATTCAACGGACAACACTGACAGTAAAATGCTGTCAAATTTTTTTAAAAAAATTGCAGATTACTTCCAGTTTTGAGATGAATACTAGAGTTTTTAGGCTCTTTTTTTTTACATATCTCATGGCCTCTAAGTTAATTAAGAATCTTTTGATTCTTGTAGAGCTGAATTTAACGTTTTTCCTCTTCTTCCCAGTGAAATTCAATTCTGCAAGTTAGATTTGCTAGCCAGTATATTCTAAACCTTCTTTGAATATGAATATGTTTCCTGAATTGCAGAGGAGGTCTTTGCAAATGTTTGTTGAGTTTGTGATTCCGTCTTTCCACAATATACCTTTTTTTCTTTGGTGTATGATTTTCTAATTGTTATTTCATATTTGCACAAAGTTATTTTCATTATCAACTCATTGACTCACAAAGTATCAATAAATTCTCTTAATTTAGGTTCTGTGGCAAGTTTCTTCTTTGACGATCTGCTATAGAACACGCGCTAATGCTACATGTATTCCGACACTTAATCAGATATTTTTATTTTCCGAACCTTCGCATCTCTCAAATTTGATTTTATTACATCTTCAAGCGGACTCTTCAGAATTTAAATTAACTTGGAATTGTCTATATTAATAGTGGTTGTGGACTGCACATGATTTCCTTAATGTTTCAATAAGAGTAAAATTCAATTTATAGAAATATTTCAAAATTAAAGCTCCCTTCCCCGGATACAGCTGTCAAAGCTGTAGTGGAAATTATTTAAGAATCAGTAATCTGACTGGAGACCCTTTATAGCAACGCCTTGTCATAAAAGTGCTCATAATTTTATATAGATTGGCCACAGTTCTAAAAGACGGAAATGTTCACAAGTAAGCTCAGTCATAAAGGTGTGTGTACCTTTATGAAGATTAGTTTCTAACTTAGGAAAAAATAAATATGCAAACATCTGTATGCCTGTGCTCATCTTTATAATCGGACACCCTTACGAAACGTCCCTCTGATTGATCATTCATATGTTTCTGATCTGCTGTGCGGAAATGTGAGTTTGGGATTCTAATTAGTTACAACTGATGGAAAAATTTCTTGTACTTTCAGCTGTGATGTACGGGAATGTGTGGAGGCATCACAACACCAATAGAGCACTTAAAAACAGCCCTCGGTGCCTGAGTACCAATCCTCTCGTTTGAAATTTCCACTAACTTACCAAGTTACTACTTACATATATTACTATGTGTCTTCCTCTCTTTTAGTTTAGTTTAGCTGATTATGACAAAGCACACTAGAACTGTCTGCCTAAGGAAAGGGATACTTTCATGGAGGACTTTCTACACGTTACAAATGAGAAAAAAACGAAAACGCCCATGCAGCCAGCGCTTCGTCTGTAATCGAACCCAGGTCAGAACTACCAGTGTTCGGCGATTTTGCCCCTCTGGTGCTGGTGGTCTTTCTTTTCAACATGCTGGTAAAAATAGAGCTTTATAAGTAAACCGACAATTTGTTATCATATTTATTTTTGAAGTGCTTTCTAAACTTACCCATATAAATTTTAGAAGCCTGAATGTTTTGTACTAAACATAAAATTAAATGCCTTTGATTTGCAATGACTAGCATGAAGAATTGTTTTCAAAACAATGAGATTCCTTCCATATTATTTAAAAACGGACAAGTAAGAAAAGTATAAGTAAATAAAAATTTATATTAAAAAAAATTGGTTTCTTGTGTATTAATCGGTACCCTCCAACACCTCACTAACAATGAATTGCCGACTTTTGAGAAGTAATGCATTTTCTTGTCATCACATCAATGAAATACGTTTATTTAAAATATTTAATTGCCAAAGGGTATTGCTTGGAAATCGCTTTAAAGATGGCGATAGATTTTTAGTCCCTGCTACCTAAATATAAGCTCTGTTAAATCAGAACGTGAGTGATTTCTTTCGGGAGATTTCTCAGTTCTCGTTTTAATTCAAATGTTCCGCCTCTACTTAGATTACCAAATCTTTTATCAACTTAGACTTCTTCCTGCCTTTTATAACAGTCGGCTAACAAACTAACAGCATAAGCCACTTACGATACCCCCCAAGAAGGCTTGGCGCATATTTTGCTCACGACGGATGTATGATTGCTTTATAACAACAAGGATGAAAAGGTAGTTTATGTATAGCCCAGGTAATACGTTTATGAATCATTGAAACCGTTATAAAAATTTAGTGACACAGAACATCATCTTCATATTCATAAAGTCCCGGAAGCGTCTGAGTTTTAAAATGTTGACAGTATACATCAAGCATACGGTTTTGTCTTAAGATTTTTTTTTCGTCACATCTAGAGGTATTTTGCTATAGAATTTATTATTTTTTTAGGTTTTGCAGTATTGATTTGAAATGAAATACACTTTAATGCGCAGAAGAAAGCCGGTACTTTTAACTTCCGGCAGTCGAAGAGGCTTTACTGCATCCTTTTAATAGATCCAAAATAGGAAAAAAACCCGTGAAAAATTACTGCGAGACGAATTTTCTTGAACAACATCAAAATACGAAATCTGCAAATAATAACCGCTGTTTATATGTATAATCGTCATAATTCGTTTTCGAATTTCTTTCCAGGAATCTCCGGTGGAAACCCTGAAACGACTAAAGTACAGATTTGAAAACGACCGCAATGCAATGCTTGTGGCCAATGTGACTTCCATTTTACCACTTATTAGGAAAGGAAAAGCTGTTTTCCTTGAAGACTTTTATGTGCTTTCTGACTTAATTAGCACTGACCACAAGGAAACAGGAAGATGCCTGCTTGCTCTGGCACCAGAAGCTTTCCTAGAAATCTATCTCGCTATTGCTGCTAGGAGAGGAAGTCCTTACATGAAAGATATCAACTCGTAGTAAGTATATTTAATGATTCTATGCATTTTTCATGAGATTTAAAGATAATAGACTCACTTCAGCAATTTGAGATCACAATTGTAAAGTCAAAAACTTCTATCATTTGGGATAGTATCTAGGACCTTGTTTCTGGACCGAATCTAGTTGAAAGATATCTACTGCTAAAAGCTTCATAATCCTTCAACTAGTATTCGAGTAAGTGCTACTTGAATAGATATCTGTTATCTGAGCGATTTGCTCTTTGAATATTATCAATCTTCGATTCTGTGTTTTAGCATCATTCGTGAGAGATTCTGGAATGAATCGGTAATCTGACTATGATCTGGAGAGGTGTGCTTTTCATCTTCCCCATTCATTTGAGACGGAATATGTCCAAGCTATGATTAACGACACTGAGGTTCTTCTAATATACAATGCCAGCTATTTAAATATTTAAAAATATGCAGCGATGATATCTCTGTCTCTCGAAGACTTGATTTCATTTTGCCATTCACTGTATAAAACCTGCTTTCTAGTAATTAAGACTACAACGCCTGACTGTTGGAAGAGAAAAAATTCTTGGGAACAGGTGTCTCACAGTGTTTGGAGCAAGCAATTTCTAATTATGGTGGTCTATTACTATGGTGGTTTAAAAGTTTACTTAAGGAAATGATCATGGGGAATTAGATTCAATGCATATGGTTAAAATAGCTTTAATTTATTATTTTTTTAAGTCCTCTGGTTGGAAGATTTCCTTTCCTTTTCGAAAGCCGTTTGAATGCTGGTCTGATTACATATTTTCTTGGCAGGATGCTATTGACAATAAATTTTTAAAAATACATACGTAATTCTTTCGTATGATTATGGGACGAATATTAAATTTAGATGTGGAATTTTTTTTTTTTTTTTTTGGTTTGCTTTATATTTCAGAATACGAGTTCATCGGAAAGATGCATAAGTTTCAAAAAACTTCTCTGACCATTTGCCTAATCTGATAGTTGTATTGTTTAAAATATTGATAACTAAATATTTAAAGAAATTTAAGTTTGAGGAACAAAAAATGTTGCCGCATTTAGGTTACATATACGTTTAAAAGTTTTAAAAATGTCTATTGTTGCTAAAATCGTAAAATATTATGAACATTTTGTTTTGGAAATACATATATTTCACTTAATGTAGCTTCAGAAGGTTTATAAGACTTAACCATGACGAATTAAATAGCGATCTGCTTAATTTAAACATGTACTATCAAACGCTAGCCTATTTTACTGAATTTTTTCAAAAAGGTTTATATAGTAACAAAGGATCCAGATATAGCTATTTAACTTCACAAAAAAGATTTGTCCAAAAATAAAAGCTAATTCTGTCAGTTACTAAGCTAATGTTTTATAACGTACAAAAATTTCCTAAATATAAGTATAGGGAGCGGAGTTATTAATATTCATACTTTTTTATATAAAAAATTATATTTCGTAATTTTTACATAATTGATTTCTTTAAATTTAAAAATGACAAAAAAGTAAACTTTGCGTCATTTAAAATATTTTTGAAACCGGAAGTATATGTCTACGACCAACAGTTGCAAAAAAAAAAAAAAAAAAAAAAAAAAAAAAAAAAAAAAAAAGACCGATTGATGATTTTTATAAGGACGGTATATATACATATATATTTATTGTAGGCTTGTATGTATCGGTAAGCTTCTGTTTTTCTGTTTTTTTCCAAGATTAAAACACGCGAATTACTGTTTCTCACCAAGGCCATTATAACCAACAGGTACCGAAATAACGAGGGAGCATGATGGAGCACAAATATCCACTTACTCTAATTGTTGTACAGGTTTGTTCTGAAGGTGATGCTCAAGTAAAACAAGCCACCCTTACTTTTTAAACTGCTCACCCCCCCGAAAAAAAATTGTAGGCTTCTAGAAGATTATACAACAGCGTCTAGTTTTGCCGCAATCTTCAAAGAGAAGCCCATCTGTGCATCGGCGGATGGCAGATGTCCAAGTTCCAGTAAGGTCTTAAATTGACAAATTTGTGTTTAGTAAATATCATTAATGTAAAGAGATTTACAAATCTGTTGCACATGTGTACAAGAACAGTTCTAGCATTAATAATTGAACCATTTAAAAATTTTTAAGCAGAGATGGGATGAATTGTAAATTTTGTTTTCTTTTTCTAACCTGAAATTTGCATTTAATGACAAATAAATTTACGTATAAAGTTTCTAAAGCGTATATAAAAATTTGCTAAGAAGGTCCAAAAGAAATTTAATGAATGATAGACATAGTTAAAAGTTTTGAATATTGAGGTTAAATTTAAGTCGTAAGTAATGAATTGAGGTTAAATTTAATTAATAGTGTTGAATATTGAGGTTAAAGCGTTGAATATTGTTCTCAATATGATTTGAAAATAATGTTTGAATAACAGTTCTAGTTCCCTGCATTTTTCTTGAAATTTTTCAAGTTAAAGCAATTGTAGAGGAAAAAGAATTATTAGTATAACAGTTAACATAGTAAACATGCAATACGGTATTCTAAATTTTCTCTAGAAAAACAAAAATGTGGCAAAAGGGGATATTATTGATTCCTCTCCACTGAAATCGTAATAGCTGTCTTCTTTTTTTAATTAAGGCTTCACTTGGACATCAGTAAACCTAAATTTTCCAAAGGATCTGAGTTTAAATGTTTAATTAGGATTTAGGTTAGTATCTGAAAAATTCAAATGATGTATTAAAATTTTGGAATCTGGAATATGTCTTCGAGATTCGTATAATTCGAAAATTCCAGTGCCCCATCCCTACATTTGAAAGACAGTAACGCACTCATCAGCCAAAACATTATGAACATCTCCTAATGCTGCTTTATTAGTACGCATAACAGCTCCAATCCGTCTGGTAAGTCTACAAGTTCCGTACGTAAATCTTGGTAAGTGTTCGGAGGAAGACAAGCATAGGTTACAATTTTCGTAGACTACAAAGATGAGGTTGGTGAGCTCTGAGCAGGTAGTGTATAACAGCCCAGATGTGATTAATAGCATTAATATCCAGTGAGTCAGGAGAACAGGACCTGAACTATAAATCATTAGGATATTCCTGAAGCACTATTCCGGCCTTGCGACAAGGAGTATTATTCTGCTGAAAAAGTCCATGTCTAGTGGGGAAGTCAGAAGCCAGGAAAGGGTGTAACTGATCAATAGTGATGCTCCTATAAGCTACACCTGTCACGCTGGCTGTTCGATAACAGCCATCGGCCCTAGGAACGATCACAAGAACTCCGAATGCATAATACCTCCACCACTTTTTTATATCCTGCGGTATGTGTGTTCCTCGATTATTCGCCTAGGAGATGCTGTATCCTGACATGGTCATTGATGTGATGTAAACGAAATTGTGATTCGTCTGGCCAAACAATTAATTTCCATTATTTGCATAATCTAATTACATTGTTAATGGACCCAATATAATAGTAAACGTCAATGATGCTGGATTAACAGAGGCACATATGAAGGCCATGCTCTGTAGCGTCCCATATCCAACAGTGAGTATCCAACATAGTCCATATCAATATCCACATGTAACATTTCCTGTTCTGAAAATTAGAAGAACTAATATTTATTTACCACTTTTAAGGTCAATGTCAGTAAAGGCATGACAGATAATTCACAGTGTTAGTATCACAGTAGGAACAACTTTACATCATGCTTATTCATTTCTTGTCTAACACACAAAATATGTTATGTGTTTTAAAAGAAAGGAATTTTGTTTCTTTTCAGCATTCGACAATTATGGCATGGAGGACTTATGCAGCACTGGGCTAAACGGTTCTCTAACCTGGACACTCACGAATGTTACTTCATCACCACCACTTTGAGAGGAGGAAGGAAAGATGTCACGCTTCGTGATCTCCTGGGGGCTTTCCTCATGCTACTTTGTGGTCTTTGCATAGCGAGTTCCGTGATCTTGGCCGAAGTAGCTTACGTCGGTCTCAAGAAGTTACTCGCAACTGAACGGACGAGCAAAAAATTACGATTGCATCTTTTCATGATTAACATTGTGAAAACTAAAAACATCAAATTCATCTCTGGAAAGGGAATAAAGTGATATTTTTTTGTTAAGCTGGCCTAAATCTTCTCGTGTGATTGACAACGGAATAACTGTAAAATCATAGACAAGTTTCCAGAATAATAAGTATGCACATTTAATGTACTGTTTTCTAAAAATTTATCAAAACCACATAAACCCAATTAATTTTTTAATTCAAAAGTCTTAAATAATAATTCTAAATTTCATTTTGCACATTTGTAAAATATGCTGGAATCCTATTATCAAAACATTAGGATTTCATATATATTTATAATAAAACAGATTTTGCGTGCCTACCGCAAAAACGTATAGTCCCAGAAATACAAAATTTGGTTTACATTTTGTTGAAGTTTTGAAGTGAGCTCTTTTAGGGATCCCTTTATATTTTCAATCAAGTTCTTTTCAACTTATTTTATGTTGGAACGATTTTCGTAGCACATTTGTACGTATCTTTATTTAAATAACAAACTAATTATCTCACAATTCTACTCTTTCCATCATTAGATAAAGAAGAAAACAAATTCTTGAAAATGGTTCAAGTTAAGTCTGATGCCAATCTGTTGCTCAGTTTATCAATTTTTTTTTTAAATTGCTCGTTTTTCTGTGACCATTACAAGTGCCATTTTTTAAAATGATCAACATTTAAAAATGTGTCTGAGAAAATTTTGAAATTTCATGGATTATAAGATTGATTATTCGCCCATTTTTTAGAATCACTTCAATTTTTTTTTTACTATTTGGGTAAAAAATCAAATTGAATTGATTTTTTTACCAATATTGCTTAAATATGTAGTATTACAGTTTTAAACAAAGAAAGAAATTTCCTTTCTTCGCATCATTTACTTCGAACGAGCCTATGCGTAAAGACTTAAAATCATCGGTGTTCAGTTTCTTACTATCCTCAATCTTCAGTAAACTTTCAGAAATCAATGGCTGACAACCTTCCAGTCTGTAGTATGCATCAATAAATAACAATTTTGGAATAAAAACTTCATTCCAATTCAGAAATTCTCTAAGCAGCTCATTTTCAACTTTCTACAGGCTGAGAGTAAACAACGGTCTGAAGTCCTTCCTTTGTGCTTTTGAAGCATTTAAATTCATCATCAGGAAATAGGTAAACTACCTCTTCATGTTTGGCAATATATCAGTGATAACTGTATTCGTGGACAGTTTAGAATAAATACTTGTTTGAATTTTACCAAATCATTCGCAAATTGACCGCATTAACAAAATCTCGTTCAGAACAAAGTTCGAAACAGTAATCAAAGAGCACAAGTTCAGCATTATAAATTCTAAACTGAACTAGTATATGAATTGACTCACTAGTGGCCTTTCACTGCCGCTTAATTAAAGAGTTACTCATAGCGAGGAATTTCTTCCTAAAGGGTTCAAGAAAAATAATTCCTAATGGTTCAAAAATATGTTTTCCGGAAATTTCCAATATGTTGCCAGGTTGACGGCAAAGATTTGTTGTCAAAGGTTTTTCACCATATTTAAGGTTTTGTGTGAATTGTCCGTGAATAATTCAAATGTTAATCGATTTAGAATTGAAAGATCTATAAGAATGATCTGTATCATTGAATAATGACAAGCAGTAATACCAAGTGGCCATAAATTCTAAATTGATTCCACGCACCAAATAAACAAATATACACAAACAAACATAACATAATCATGCGAAAGTGCACTAATTTAACGAATAAGCGAATAAATAAATAAATACATAAAAATATAGAAATAACATACAAAATCAAATTATTTTCAACTATTTACATAAATTTACAGAAATATGTAACTACGCTAATTTAGTATTGCTTTCTTGCTTTATTTTACGAAAGTGGATGTTTAAAAGCTCTCGTATTCACAAGCGCATTTGAAGGTTAATAAAAGTAATTTAAACATTTATTTACATTGAGGAAAATTCCCAACGTTTAAAAATATTTTTTTCATTCTTTCTTTCGGATGCTAAGATGTACTAGATCTAAGACATAAGACATTTTTGCTCGTGCATTTTCTTTGCAACATATTTAAGTAATCGCGCATAATTTCAAGAGTTAATATGTCATCTTCTTCCGTTCATAGCATTCCTTTTGCTTTCGATTTAGACAGAATTAGCATACCTGTCTGAATAAAGATCGTTCTTTCTGATGAATGTGACTTTGCAAATACGTTGTAGAGAACATTGCATACTTTGGACTAAGAAATACGAAAAAGCAACCTTATAAATACACAAGAATCGCCAGGACTCCAACCATAGATCAACCGAACTGCTAGTTGTACGTGCTTACTCCTTACAATACGAAGACACTCACGGAAGAAATGTGAGAAATTTTTACATTTTCCCCTACTTGAAAGAATACTACGGAAAGGACAGTTGACCTAATTCCTGGTGATGACGGATTATCGTTCGCCACACGTTAGTATGTGCGTTCCTCTATGATATAAGAAGCATTGGAAATTAATTATATTCTCGCCAGGGATCTCAGCTCAAGGATCACCTGTTTTCTAGTTGGACACGCTAATCACAGCAGCTCACAAATGGAGTGTAATAATTATTATAAGTAATATTCATCCCGATATACAAGTAACTGAAATAGTATTTCTTTGTGGTATACGGAGCGTTGATACCGAAACTCATTCATTGGAAATAATAATAACATAGTAATTCTTATTTTCTTTCGCTCTCAAAGATTAGTGTTAAGTTCTCCGTTTTCTTAACATATTCTTCAGATAGTAAACCAAAACCATTGTGTCGTTATTTTACAGGTATACAGGTATTTTCTTTCCTACTCCCCTAAGCAAGCAATCTACAGTAAAATGATTCTTCTTAACAAGTAATAATTGATCTCTTAACAACTGGCAACTGCTAAGTTAGATATCTAGAAATAATTTTCTCTTTGTTGCTGTTTCTGCTCTAAATAGCCTGCTTCCCAAATGTTTAAGAAGCTTAATTTTCCTATAGTTTCTTTCTTTAAAATAGGCACTACAATATCTTTTCGCCCTCCCTCACTGATCGTAATGCTTGTCGTCATTACTACGCAATGCTAATTTCTCAAATTATTTGAGATTAGAGATTCGAATATCTGCGTCAGCTATCGTTCTCATGGTTAGGAGGAAAGCCGTCGGGATAAACGACCCTGACGTGGTTATTGCTAAGTAACAAACTACAAGTATGTAAGTATCTTTAATTAAAATTGCACTAATGAAGGGAATGAGATTTATGTAGACAGATACTTCCCCAATTACTAAACATAGATAAACAAAGAATTAGTGATATTGCGAACATAGCTAGCTCTAACTAAAATTGAATAAATTTTTTCAATGCAATAGCGATGTTTTCAGTGTTTCCTTAATTCCATTAAGAATGGATTTTAAAAAGAAGATTTTAAAAAACGTACTTTTCTTACCCTCAAAATAAATTATTACTTTCCATAAATGTTCAATGCATAAGTTCATGTCGCTTTTTGACCAATGTACATTTACTGCTTTGAGTGGTAAGCTACTCATACAATTCATAATTGATCTATTTCCCTGCATTGTTCACAATCTATCCTCAACATTCCGATAACTTTTGGATGATATGTCTGCAAAATTTCTTTGGTTTGGATGCATAAAACTTACCTAGAAAAGTTTTCAGCTAATTCATTGTTTTCGCAGGGCATACCACCGCATATACTCGATAGTGATCTGAAGAGTAATTATGTGTAGAAGTCATATGTGGGGAAAACATCAGATGTAGGTGAATTTCCTAGTTGAACCGGCAAATGGCACCTTTTGTCGTATTTGCAGCATATGGTCTGGCATTCACCATGTGGATGATGATGCCATGTTATTGGCCTTTCCTCTTGAAGGCATGAACTAGGCAGAAATGCTAGAAACAGATAAATTCACGAGAGAGACCTGATGTGAATTAAGACGGATCATGTTGCTCAACTGTTTCACATCAAAGTAGGATGAGCGACGAGAGCGTGGAACATCGCTCATTTCAAAATTTCCGCCATGGAAATTGTTAAATTTAATAAAAAAAACCCTTTAGCTTTCCTCCATCAGGTCATGAAAAAGTTATTAATTTGGATCTGTTTTATAATATCAAAACACAATTATAAAAAAATTAATTGGGACGGCAGTACTTCTCTGTAACCTGAAATACTTCCACTTCGGTACTTGTATTGAAATGTTTTTCTAATTGAATCCCGAAGAGAGAGTTGTCTTCACAGCAATCAAATAATTGGCTTGGCTTGGAAATTACACAAAGTCATGTGGACTGGTCGAAGACGTGGCGCCCTCTATTGGTGATGAAAGCAACCAAACACTTGAGAAGAAAGTCTTTGGTGACCCCTAAGTTTTCCACTTTCCGATATTGCCGTGTCTAATTTACAGGTAGCAAGTTGTATTCCAGTTGTCTTTAATTGTTGCTACATGTGACGCTACAGCTGCTGAAATGTCTAAGTGAGTTCGGAAGACGAGATGTTGCGTGAAAGATGGAGTTTTTCAAAGCTTTATATTCGTACCATGTATAACTGCTTTTTCAGCATCTTTGCGTTAGTGCTGCCATCTATTGGTGTTAATATAAACTAACATGTAACTAATGCTTAAATTCTGAAAGTTTTTATAATTTTTTTATTCAATAAATTCCTATTAAATGGTATTAAAAGGCGCAAAATAGCTGTAAGCAATTTCAATGCTAACACCTTCTGGCGAGAAATATTCAAAATTATTTTTTAAGTAATCATTATTATTGCTGCTAGATTATTACACATTTCAATTTTTTATGAAAGCCATATAATTAACAATAGCTCTTTCTGAGCGCATATTTTTATATGACTACTAAATTGAAATAATATAATAAAATAGAGATTAATTGATAGTTATTGGTATAGATAGCAGTTATAGCGTAAAGAAACTTTTGATTGTCTTCATATAGTGTTCATAGATATAATATTTAATTTAAACTACTTTAATTTAAACTACTATTAATTTAAACTACATAAAATATTTAATTTAAACTACTACTAACTTAAGGCACAAAAAGAAATGCAATTAATAATAATATAATCTGATT